TGACGGAAGTCTTGATCGATTTATCCATAAACTCACCCACCTATTGCCCAGCTGCCGAGATTGCATCCACTGCACCAGCGCCAGCCTTACATCGAACACAAAGGTATAGGGACAACTCCACCCAAGTCGATAACTCGTATATACACAGTTCGACTCAAACAGTCAGTCCGTATATCGACCAATCCACCCAAACCATGGGCGAAGCGATGACAGACGCCCAAAGGGCGGAGTTCACGCAACTATTCGCCCAAGCAATGGTAACTGCACTCGATACTTACGAACAAAGACGTGCGGAACGTGAGGAACAAAGACAACGTGAAGAGGACGGACTTCGCAATGGCGATCCCCCACCTCCTCCCCCACCACCCCCACCGCCTCCTCCAGACAACGAGGCAGTTCCTCAGCGTCAAAATGGACCCCAAGTACCAAACAACACACAATGGCGAGCTTCGGACATTGGGTATTTCTACCCCAACATGCCTTCCAATTGGGGACGCAGAGATCCAGTCGAGCACGACGGAAAGATATACTATCGAACTGCCCAAGCTTTCTGCATGCGTTTGAAAGTCGCCTCATACTCACGAGATGTAGTCACCATGAGCCAAAACATGGACACTCTCTTCAGAGGTGACGCGAACGCTTGGTGGACACAACAAGTCGACGAAATACGACAAATCGGACTCGTCAACTCCAGGAACATTGACCACTGGATCGCAGCAATCGAAGCCCGATGGAAGGTCCCAGATAGTCGACTCCAGGAACAACTTGACAATTGTCGCTACACCGTTCGAGATGTTCGTTACAACAGATCCCCAACCGCGTATATTGCCGAGATATCGGGACTGGCACGAACTTGCGGCGCACTCAACGAACGCGATATAGTTATCCGGGCGTGGAGACATATCGACCCCGAGCTCCGAGAGCATATCAAGGAACCCAGACGTGGAACCACACTTGAGGAATTTGGTGACGAGATGAACTCATGTTATACAACCTGGAGGGATAAATGGAACCCAAGTACGAAGGACAGAGCCCAAAATCGCATCCGCGATAATACTTACTTTCCCCAGGAGTACGATCGATACGACCGTCAATTTGATCGATCCGATCGTGGCCCAAACAATTGGGATGGAAACCAATACCGCAGAGGCCGAATGGACTCCTATAGACCGAACGATCGTCGAGATGACCGATACGACAAACGCGAAAGCAAACGTGATGATCGTCGCAACGACCGAAACGACCGCCGAGATAGGGACCGTGACCGCAAGGAGGACCGCAAGGATCGTCGCGATGATCGAGGACGCGAGCGCCGCCGCAGTCGTGATCGCGATCGCCAAGATGACCGCAACCGTGGCAAACCCCAGAAAGCATACCACAATGATGCTGACAGCGACAGTGACAGCAGTTCCCATAGTGGATATTCCCGGCGTAGCCAGATCGACAGAGCGTATGACCAATCCCGCGGTACTTGGGGACATCGCGATAGCGACCGCAGTGACGAGCGTCATGACGATGATAACAATACTTATTACTCGGACGACGACCACGAAGACCAGAATGCTTCGGATTATCGCGAACGTCGAGACGCCTCCTACCCACAATGCTCGGATTGTTACATGTCGTTTACTTCCAACAACGCGCTTCACGCGCATATCGCAAATTGCGAACCGTGTGCTTTTCATGCAGACCCGGACACTCCAATAATCAACGCAGACGAGTTTTTCGTGCCCCCCAAACCAGGAGAATCCTTCAAGGACTGGAGGTACGCAACGGTCAAGGTCCGCGTTAACGAAAACACGGACACCGTATGCCTTGACTCTGGGTGTACCATGTCAATAGTCGATGAAGCCTGGCTCGCGACTAATTTCCCAGACATCCCAGTATCAAATACGATGTATCCGGTCCATATTCGTGGAGTCAAACAAGAATTCGACAGCACGAGACATGTGATGCTACCTATTCTCTTCCCTGCGAAAGTCGATAACAAATCAGTATTGATTCGAGTACACGTAGACGCACACTTGACCCAGGACTTGAAAGCCCATCTTCTCGTTGGTTGCAATACCCTCGGACCATACGGATTCAAAATTGATTTCGAAGGCCGGCTTGTCGAAGTAGCACGTTGTCGCAATGCAACTTTCCCACTCACGATCACACCAAAACCGAATCACCGTCAAAGCCGACCGGTGTTCATTAAGAAGAAGATAGCCATCCCTGCACATGGCAGAATGGCACTTCCAGTTCGCCCGCTCGATCTTGCGGCCGACAGAGACTACATTTTTGAGCCCAAGCAGCACACAGATGCAATTTTCTTTGCTCACGTAGTCGACGCGAACTTTGCCTCTATTATGGCTTCAAACCCGTCGCCATGGCCGATTACCATCAATCGTCATACGAAGCTTGGGAGCATCTCAGAGTTCGACGCCACAGCAGTCTACCACGCGACTCCCGAGTCCCAGGACTTGCTCGAGAACCTCGCATCGGTGACACCCGAGACACAAGACAAGTTGAAATTCAACGTTAACTCCGTGATGACGAAGACTTTGAAGACCGGCGTTACAGTCTATGGTACACCAGAACAGCAAGAAGCCCTTGCAAAGATGGTGGCCAAATTTCCCGAAGTATGGACAAACAACGATGTTGTTAAAGTGCCAATGGACCGGTGGCTTCGCATCCCCTTACGCGAAGGATGGGAAGACAAAATCGGCAAAACAGCAAAGGTGTATAAACTTGGTCCCACACACCAGAAGGCCGTCGATGACATTTTCGACGAGCTGTTGAAGACCAACCGCATGGGTAGATCAGAGAACTTCACCCCTTCCGGTGCCCCAGTCTTCGTCGTTACGAAGGTGGTTGTCGATGACACAGGACGAAAGTCATTAAAACTACGTCCAGTAATCGACATCCGGGCACTGAACGCATTGGCGATTCCGGACGTATATCCAGTACCGACCCAGATGGAAATCATAGCAACACTCATCGGTGCGGCATATCTTTCAGTACTTGACGCGATCAAAATGTTTTACCAATGGCCGGTCCATCCGGAAAGTTGGCAATTCACGGGCGTTATATCACATCGTGGACAAGAATTCCTTAAGGTATGCCCTATGGGCTACCTTAACTCGATACCGCATGTCCAACGCCAAGTGGAAGATCTATTTCGAAAGATGAAAGAATTCCTGCGCGTCTATATAGACGATTTCATCGTATTCTCGAAAACGTTCGAGAATCACCTTCAGCATCTCGAACACTTTCTCGAGAAATGTCAGGAAATAAGAATCACTCTGTCACCCGACAAATCCTTTCTTGGGTTTCCGTCCATTGAAATCCTCGGACAAAATGTGAATGCCTTCGGCATGACGACTACCGAAGCAAAGGTAGCGGCGATCTCGAAACTCGAATTCCCGAAGACCCTGACTGAGTTGAATTACTTCATCGGCCTGACAAACTGGTTGAGAGACTACGTACCCTTTTATGCGGAAGCAATTCGCCCTCTCCAGCAACGCAAGACCTTGCTTGCAAAGACGATTCCCGACGGTCTTGGCAAGACCGCACGGAAAAACCGCACAGCGAAAGCCTCGCTAACAGAACCGACAGACGCAGAGCTCCAGTCCTTTTATGCAATAAAGGATTTCTTCCGCAAGAAACCAGTGCTCGTACACTTCGATAAGACACGGACACTCTGCATCGACGTCGATACATCGAAGAAGAGAGGAACAGGAGTAATGCTCTTTCATACCCTTTTGGACGACAAGTCGAGTTCAAAATATGACATAAAATGGACTCCGACCACCGTCCCATCCATGGACTCTATTCAACCAATCCTTTTTCTAAGTCGGGAGCTCAGTGGTGCGGAACGCAACTACTGGCCCACAGAACTCGAAATGTCGGGTTTATCTTGGGCAATCCGCAAGTGCAGGCACCTTGTTCAGGCTGCCCGAAGAACGGTGGTGTACACCGACCACCAAGCGATTAAACCACTCTTGGAGCAAGTCTCCCTGACATCAACGTCAGCAACTCAACTAAACCTGAGACTTATCCGCGCAGCACAATACCTTCAACCTTTTCGCTTGCTCGTAGTCTATAAACCTGGAAGACTGCATATCATTCCCGATGCGCTCTCGAGGCTACCGTCTCTCGCTACCGGGACTGCGGATGACGACGACTTCCATTTAGATGCACTTTGGAACGAACCCGCGATACTGTCAGTCCACCTCGCGGAAGATTTCAAGAATCGAGTACGCGAAGGCTACCCGGAGGACCCCAAATGGTCGAAAATCATGAATCAGATCAGGGAGAACGACGAAGCCCAAGCAAGGGTTGACCTACCTTTCTATGTAGAAGACGGCCTACTCTTCAACGCCCAACATTCTTTGTGCATGCCAGGATCCATGCTTAAAGAAACCCTCGAGGATGCGCATGATGCCCTCGGACACCCAGGAGAAGGTCGAACCATCGAGAACCTGAAGGGACTGACATTCCCACGATGCAGATACTGGGTGAAACAGTATATTGCACACTGTCACGAATGTCAGAAGAAGGAAGTTCCCCGACACCGACCATATGGACGGTTGCAACCTATTCTCTCACCACCGATACCTTTTCATACCCTGACTATCGACATCGTGACTGCACTTCCCGACACCGAAGGCGAACAAGATTATAACGCCATTCTGACAGTCACCTGCAAATACACGAAACGCATCACGATTATACCAGGCCGACATGACTGGGACGCGATGCAATGGGCAAATCCACTTCTCGAAAGACTCGCTCTCGGAGACTGGGGGATTCCTAAAGTCCTTATCAGCGACCGAGATTCAAAGTTCTTGTCCGACCTGTGGACGGCTCTGTTCGAGCTGCTTGGTACCAAGCAACGGTTCACCACCGCCAGCCACGCCCAAGCCGATGGACAGAGCGAAAGAACCAACCAGACAGTCGAAATCTTTCTGCGTTATGCAGTCGCCTCTTTGACAGACGCGGCCGATTGGCCCAAGTTGCTTCCACAACTGCAAGCGACGCTTAATTCCTATAAGAACGCATCCACCCAGTCCTCGCCACATGTATTGATGTACGGCATGGAGTTACCGACGACGCTGAACCTCGGCATGGCGACGCAGTCGACCGATCGACCGCAGAATTTTTCGGCACGTACAACGGCGACTGAAGCACTTCAGATAGCGCAAATGGACATGAAGCGTCGATATGACGCCCAGCACAAGGATATGGCATTCGAGAAAGGGGACTTGGTGAAGCTTCGTCTTCACCAAGGCTACAAGACTTCAGCGGTGTTGAAGAAGAAACTCGATAACACGTTCGCGGGACCTTTCGAGGTTCTGGAGAAAAAGTCGGCATTAGCATATCTCATCAAGCTGCCCCCGGGTTCGCGGATTCATCCAGTCATCAGCATCACCCACCTAGAACCATACAGGAAGTCGAAGAATATCCTGAGAAAGGACCCCTTCGACCGCCGACAGCCAGAACCTGACCCAGTCACCGGAGACTCGTACGAAATTGAGGCCTTGCTTAGTCGACGTCTCCGAAACGGTGATTTCGAGTACTTGGTGAAGTGGCTCGGGTACGCGGATGAACACAACGTCTGGTACAAGGAACGAGACCTGCAGGACGCGAAAGCATTAGTCGAGCAATATGACCAACGGCATCCTCGACCGACCGGTGGCCTGAACCTGGGAAGACCGACGCGCGTGACTCGCGTTCCAGGACGCGGTCGAGGTCGTCCAAGGCGACAGTAACCATTCACTTCGCCTTCACCAACCCATTCACTTCGCCTCACTAACACAACACACAACATTCAACCACCCTTTTCCCCCTAACACACTTTTTCTTCCCCTCCTCACATCAACCCTTCATGTCATCTCCTTACCTCTGATCCATCAACCGAAAACCTTTCCCTTTCCTTTCACCGAACCCTTCATGTCAGACGAATACCTCAGAAAATTTGAGGAAGAAGCTCGTCGCAAATACGAACGAGCCCTCCGAGCAGAGCAGGAAATTCGAGAAGAGGAGGAATGGAGAAAGACTAGGCAAGCACTTTCTCAAAACATTCAAATGACCCCTGCGAAACGGGACTTTGGCGCCTGGCTTAAGGAAAAGAAGAAGTATTAATTCTCACTTTTTCCAATCCTTCCCTATGACGAAACACGTCTGCTCCAATAAGAAGAAACTTGCCTTGAACCCTGATCGGCGTCAAGAACGTCGAAACATCAAGGAAACTGGTATCATCTTGGGCATGGAAACAACCCAACTCAATAATTCCCTTTCTTTTCACGGCCTCCCTAAGCTCTGCCCCAAAACAACATCTGATCCCGGATCAGACTTCGGCTCTGTCTTCAGTCGCTCACTACGAAATAGCCCAGATCCCGAAGCCAGTCACACTCCTGAACACAAGGAACCGAACTTAAGGAAACGTACCCTCAACTTCCACTCTGACTCTGACCTCGATTCTTCGACTCCAAAGAAGCGCATCGGTCCTTCGACTCCGAAACGCACTGAGACTGCGAGTCCCAAGAAACGCATTCGTTCCCCCAGCTCCGACTCCGACGACCACCTGGTGATCTCGGAAACCGAGATGGTTAAGAGAAAGAACGAGGAAGACACACCAGACCATCGGGGTACCGATTTCATTCCGGGCATTCCCCCCGATTATCCAAACTACAAGGTTGATGAAGGGACATCAATCATCCGATTTGTCGACTACGCGATGTCGGCCGATCTACTTCCCCAGCATTTTGCACCTCCTCCCCTGCCTCCAATTTACGACGAACCAAAGCTCCCAAAGTTCGCAATCGGTTGGATGCAAGGTGAACAACACACCTACAGACATGGTATGATCTACGACAATTCGATTATCCATGTTTTCTGCCAGTTGCAAATCAAGTCAAACCTCCATCGAATTGTTAACCAGTACGGCAAGAACATTCCGAAGAACGATCTTGAATCTTATGACACTTTGCCAGAATTCAAGACAAAGCATGACATCAAGAAGAAAGTCCTGGAACTGATACCGCTTTGGATTGCCGAGGCTGAACAAGCTGTTGAGGACTTCGACAACGCAGTAAGCCTCTGGCAACAGCAAGTCGTCGACTGGGAAGTTGATGCTCTCCGTGCAGCGCTAAATCTGCCTGACGATGTACTGGAGAAGTTGAAAGGCGAAGCATTAATCCAAGATTGCAGCGAGTGGCAGGTCGGCTATGGAAAGCCACCCGGCAGGGCCTTTCTGCACAACTGGGCGAACAAAGTCCAGGACCAGATCAAGGCGAAGAATTATGTCATCCCCGCTGGCAAAACCTTTCCCCAACGTATCGAGAACGCGAAAAAGTTCCGTAATGCCCTTCACAAGGAAGTTCGCACGGACGAGGAGGCAAGAAACAGAGCCAAGAAACGCAACGACTCTGACTCTGACGAGGAATTCATACGCCCGTCATTTGACGAAGAGGACGATGCTTTCGTGACGTTGATGTCCTTCACAAATAACAAAATCGATACCTCGAAGTTATACGACTGGGTTGTTGACCGACATTTGATATGGAAGAAGCCCACAGTCAGAGCAACGAAGAAGAACTTTGCCAACGTCTTCGACCTTGCAGCACCACCAGACACGAAGGACACTCCGGCTTCCAAAGGATTGCTCAAGGACAAATGTCGCTTCCCACACTCGATCGCCGATGAAACCTGGGGACCCTGTGCGACTGCACTAGAGGCCTATCTCCTCAGCACAGGGAAGGACATCGATCTCATGTTCTCGACGCGTGGACAGAATATTCTTCTTGATATCGAAAAATGGTTCTTTACACAGGAGACCGTCGATTTCCATGAAAAGCCACTGGAGAAATGGCCCCTAGATGAATCCATCCTGCGAAGACTACCAAACATTCGGTAACTTCCATATATCGATTATGTCGGCTCGTGAACGTGCGTCGATTCGGTTTTCAGTATTTGGTAAATGGACTCTCTTTTCCTTTGTCTTTCACATCCGTCCCTTTCGTGACGTCGAATTTTGTTCCTGTTCTTCAGTTTTCCGCTCGGTGCGTGTGCCTCGCTTGCGAAGCGGGGGGAGTGTTGCCTTCGACACCTCGAGCCTCGGCTTGGGTACTGCCCTCCCTTACCGCTTCGGGAAGGCGACCTCATGTACGTATCGAGATAGCTAAAATGAAGGGAACAACCATCTATCTATGAATCATCGTTTCTCGAGGCCTCGAAGCCCAACAATTAGAATATTCTTAATAATCTTAATCCGAATTCGATCATCTTTATATCTAAGAAATAAAAAAAGAATAAAATAATTACTATCTTCTATATTAGTAAAAATAAGAATATAGATAATTTTAAAGATAATTCAGAAGATAGATTATTATTAGAAATAGAAAAGCTAGCTTTACCTGAGTCTTCGAATATTATATATACTTAGATAAAGATAGAGATCTAGTTTTCTTAATTTCTTTACTACTATAATCATCGTTCTGGACAGTATAAAGAGTAGTATAATCTTATTAATTTATTTAATATCAAATTCTATATTTTTTATACTGGATTCTATAAATACTTTTTTTAAAGTGTAGTATACCCCTCGGAACTACAGGGGAAGAGATCGAGCAAGTCGAACAGGTCGAACAGATTAAATAAATTAAATAGATTAAATAGATCGAGTAGATAAACTAAATCTAGATAATATTATTATACTATAATTAAAAGTATATTATACTTTGTATATTATCTGTATAAAAAAAATATATATATTACTAATTAACCTGTGGTTATTAATCTATCCGCTATACCTAATCTTTCTAACCGGTAGATATAAACGGTTAAAGTAATAATTATATTTTAATCTGACCGTAACCGTACAGTTAAAATTTTTTTGTACCTTAACCTGACCGCCAGGTTATGGTTAGGTTAAGATTAAGGTATAACAGTCAGGTTAATCCACTCTAGCCTATACTCTGTGGTAAATAATAGAAAGTATATTTTAAAAAAATATAACCTATTTTAAGATATATATATTTCTGTTAAATAAGTATTATTGGTATTATCAAAAGAGATATCATCGAGAAAAACATTATTAAAAAAGATATTATCAAGAGAGATATTATTAAGAAAGATATTATTAAGAGACATATTATCGAGAAAGATATTATCAAGAGAGATATTATTAAGAAAGATATTATTAAGAAATATATTATTAAGAAATATATCTAAATTTATTATATATTAAATTATTAGTAATATATAAAATATTAATAGAAGAAAGGCTTGGTATTAGCCTAATACTAGAATATTCTTACTATCAGATTTCTGTTTGTTAAATAAATAGAAAGTCTTAGTTTCTAAATAAACAAAAGGTTAGTTAAATTATAAATATAATAAAAAAGAAAATATATTTAGTAAAGCTGTTTAACTAGATATTTTAATTTCTGGATTATTAAACTAGTAAAGAATATAAAAATCTGATTCTCTTACTTAAAATATATTTTTAGCCGTAAAAAAAATTAATATATAAAGCAACTAAAGAACTTAAAATAATAAAATAAAAGAAAAAGACTACTAGTAGTATAATATCTGCTAAAAAAAAAAATAAAATTTATAAAAAAGTAGAATTAAATTCTTCTTTTTTTAGTAGATTGTATAATAATAATAATATAAATTAGATTACTGTTATAAAATCAGTAAAGATATATTATTATAAAAATATTAATAAAATATTAAGTTTAAGAATTATAAATATTAATTTAGAGGTAGAAAAAATAGATATAAAATATATTTACAAATATCTTATAATATATTTAGAAAATAAACTTACAGTATTATACTATTAATTAAAATTAAGATATATTTATATATTTTAGTATATTAAGTAGTAGTACTAGTAATTAAAAAAATATAAAAATATCTTTAAGTTATTAATTACTACTAGTATTATTAGTAAGTAGTATTAAGAATAGTTATTATATTCTTTTTAAAAAGATTTTAGTCTTTAGTAAATAATTATATATATAAAAAATTAAAAAGACTATATTGAGAAAAAAGTAAATAGTAAAGTAAAATTTCGATAAAATAATATCTATTTTTAGTAAGATTTTAATAAGATAATATCTATTTTTAGTAAGATTTAGATAAAATTATACTTATTTATATCTTAGTTTACAGAGTAGAACAGTTATAATAATAGTTTAAATTATTATTATAAATAAGTATAAATAAAGAATACAACAGTTAGTATAACTCTAAGATTAAAGTATATTATAATAGTAAATAGTATAAAAACTACTTTAGATCTAGTGAAAAAGGTATAGTTTTAGTATAATCTATTATTTATATAAAGATTAGTACTTCTAGATTTGAAGGACTTATAATTAGTCAGAACTTTATGCAACTTTATTATAACTCTATATAACCGGAGCAAACCGCAGTACAACCACTGTAACTTATCCCCTCGGCCCGCTATGTAGAGCCCAAGAAAGGGATTTCTCCGGTTCAAACCCCGTGTACCTGAGCCAATTGTTCCTATGGTCCTTTTGGGTCGGAAAAGGAGACTATTGATTTTTCTAACCTAACCTGGTTCACTGTCTTGTCAATTGGTGGGGGCTTGGCCTCCCTTCGCATTGGCGAGAAGAAGATATGGACATAGCCGAAAGGATCCGGATCTGGGAGCAGGACACTTATGGAGGAGATGTGGAGATAAGCGTCGCAGACCCTGCGATCACCCCCTGAGAGGTGGCAACGCTCACAAGGCGGGGACTCTAGCACTCAAATACATCCCAGAGTAGGCTTAGGCTGAACCCTGTCCTCTCTTAGGCCGGGGAGGAGGTAGACCAAGTGGGTCTTTTGCAGGCGGTACCTGCACAGTACAGCCCTCAATACGTGCTCATTCGAGTCGTAGACATCGCTTGAGTGACTGTCAAAGCATTTTCGCTTACATAAATATCAAGTATTGCAGGAGCATTTCCTCGGTATGATAGCTTGACAAGCTCTTCATTTTCTGGGCGGGACGACATACTTGCATGCCTTTGTCACGTGATTGTTTTGATACCCGGAAGCAGGGCGTACTGCTATGCCACATTCACAAATGCGACAGGTCAGACATTAGATCTCACCAGTGACTGTGCGAATTTCTGAGTCAGAACATGCGACTAGATCAGATTTTTTTTTCTCCCCACTCGGCAAGACCGGATATTGAATGTTTACAAGCTTCGTACAAAGCCTTTCCTAAGAATTCGTCGCGGACGCCAAGTTCACTGGGGTACAGGCCGCCGATTGGTCGGGGCGGCGTAGCAGAGCGGACCGCCCCGAATCATGAATGTCAATGCCTTTCGATGTTCTGAGACATTTTCCACGCTAGCATTGTTTAAGGCAATGAGCAAATCAGGTACCACTGGATCTCAATGGTTACCTCCTGATAGCCCCCACTAAATACTACATTCGGTGACTACTAGTTGTTCATTGTTTGCCAAGAGGCTGCAAATGTCTCCGGTGGCACTCTTGGGGTTTTGTCGAATAGCGCTACCACCACCAATGGAGCAGTAATTTCCGACCTTTTCGCGTGGCCCCATCCGTCTAGGCTCTCTGAGCAAACCAAAACCACCGATCAAGGTCTCGTTGTCAGGAGCAGTGCTATGGTAAAGGACTTTCAGGGAGAGAAGTCGTGATGGGGTTATTGTCGCGGTCAACATTGCTTAGGGCCTTTGTGAGCGTCGGTGTACTCCGGGCATCTGAATCCGGTAGGGGGTAAAATAGCCTGCGTCTTAGACATATATACTGTCCATGCACCTCATCAGGTGGAAGAGGAAGAGATTTTGGTATCATTAGTTCTAGCACTGAGCAAGCAACACTGATCATGCGCTGGGTTCTACTCGTTTACTTCTGGCTATTCTGGGTGCCAGCCCAGTCGACCGATACATCATTCCAATCCCTCTTCGTGGTCAAGACAGACACAGACAACAATGGCGGCTGCGCCCAGTACCTCGATCAATTCGAGACATTCATAGCTGAGTGCAAAGAGCTTGTCAATGCCGGCTTGCAAGTGTTCGAGGACGCAGCTAAGCCTGTCAGTACCAGAGAAGGCCGCGTGGCCCGCAGTTATCTGTGGACCTATTTCAGAATTAATGATGATGCCGAGGCAATGGCCTTAGTGAAGGGTAGGGAAAACAAACCATTTACCTATTTCCTGGATCACACTGCTCATTGAACTCAAGATTACCTCACGACAGTAAAAAAATTCCTCAACGGCGAAACATCCAGAACTAAAGCTCATCTGTACTGCAATGACGGATGGCTCGAAAAGGAACATCTGACCGACGCAGCCAAAGATAGAGACGGTAACGATAGATGGCAATATTATCCAGACGGCTCTCGGGCCCCATACGCAATCTTTCAAATCCCGGAATATCGAGAACATCTTTTCTTCGAAAACGATGATGGGATGTGGGAACCCATCCCCGATCAGGTACCATATTGGTCAGATGACTTGAAGGATTATATCTTCGATTCGAACTACAAGGGCAAGACCTACTGTGCGAGCCCCGACAACTTGGCAGTAACACAGCAAAGAACCGAGCCAAATACTATGACCTTTTGTCCTAGGGCCCTCAAAAAGAGGACGGATGTTACGGTGACTCTCGGATCGAGAGCGCCCACAGCTGGACGGTCCATCCAGTATAACCTTCCCCTTAGTGGCACTCTGTACCATGAGCTGTTCCACCTCACAGTTGGAAATGACAAAACTTACGATGTAGATTGTAAGTTCCTGCAGAAATGACAAACACCTGAAACTTATTTCCGACTAACGACTGTCTAAGATGAATTTAGTGAACAGCAAAAAAAGCTCAAGAAAGATCCCAATCAGCCAGTTGAAGGCCAGACTAAAGACTACGTGAGCCTCATTCGCGAAAACCCAGAGACATATCTCTTCTTCAGCGTGGGATACTGGTATTTCCAGCAGACAAAGTGGGGTACCGCGGCGAAACCGAATAGAAGATGGAGCTTTCATACAGGCGTTGCCCAATTGATCGCATGATAGAAAGCCGTTGTGAGGCACTGCAGGTGCAAGCATAAATAGGATGAAAGAGAGAACACCAAAATGAAAGAAGAAGTGTCTCCCAGATTGCTATGAGCTCTCTGGGTGCGCTGTCTATATCACAAGAACAAGAGCCTGGAACACAATAACCTCATAGCATTCGCAGACGAGGCACTTTGTGAAATTGATAGAAATCATCTCTCCATTCCAAGGCACCGGCTTCAACAAGAACATCAGAGAGCACTTCGACTTTATTTTGGTATGTCATGAAGTTGTCTATCAAGAACCTGAAATCGGCCGCCTTTTCATCTCGCCAGAAGTGCGCCCATAGCATTAGTCGGGCTTCTTGGCCACGCCACGATTCTGTCTGGGTGGCCCATATCTTTGTCGGAAGGCGGGTCGAACGCGACCGGCTTGCTGGAATACTAGGTCCGAGAGCTGGTGTTTTAAGGCCACAAAATTTGCTAAACCGAGTCTCTTGCTCAGGGGTCATTGCTGCGGGAAGGTAGACCCAATAAAATTGGACAAAGGCCATTTCTAGAGATGGGAACCAATATTCTTCCATGAAAGCCTCGTGATAAGAGAGTTGCAGAGCGTTGACTGCGAGGAGAGACTCCCTGAAGAGCTGGGCACACGGTGAATCTTGGAAATCTCTAAGTTCGTCGGGATGTCCCCATACTGAATAGAAGGGTAAATGAATCTACCCATAATTCCAAGGGGTCTGGTAAAAATGCTCGACTTACATGTTACCAGAAGTACTACCCCGGGCTCCTTTTGTGACCTTCCCCAGACTGTCCCCCTGTGGCCTTCTGCGTGCACCAACGGTTGAAAATAGCCAGCCCACTGTTCGGCATCAAGCTCCAGCCCCTGGGGAACCTGGAGTTCAGTGATTGCAGTGATTGGACGATATTTGGTGGTCATTCTTGACCGAAAGTCTCGTAAACGAGTTGTGCAGGATATAGAGAATAGAGTCCAGCAAAAGACGTAAGGAACAAAGAGTTGGTATGAACGGGGGGGGTACATAATTATATAGTCCCTACACCATGTCACATGACCCTGTTCACCCCCTGTTTGCGTAGTGGGGTATCGGAAAATGGATATCCCGTCTCGTTTTTTCCAACATCGAGAAACGCCATTGGAAGAAGACAAGACCTCGATGACCTTGGAAGAATGAAAGAAAAGTACTAAGATCGATTTTCTACTCATAGAAAATTCCTTGGTTGTGGTTTATACTTTGAACTGACTATGTATATGCTTCAAAGGCAGATACGATGTGTCAATTCGGTGATCTGTAGTATCTCTTTCTTTAGTACTTCTCTATATACTGATCGTCAAAGTTATTGAAACTACTGTCAGGTCTGTTATTAGATGTCCTTGCAATCTTGCTGCCTGCTAGGTATCTTCGAGGCAGTAACAATCTATGTCGAAGTGCCCGATCTCTACGCCTATGCTGAGCGAGCTTCTATGTGAGCGCGCGTGGACTGATGTCAAAGAACGGGATTCGAAAACTGATATAGGTGCAGCCATACTTGCGCCAGTGAGGTGTGTATCCAGAATTTGGACAGAAAGTTCGGGAGCAGAATCACCTGCTTGCCTCCAACATACTCCTATCTATAAATGTGTTCTCCAGCAGAGCTAAAGAATCTATGTACATCTGTAAGAGTCTCTTGCCTCCTCTAGTAGGTGGGCAGCTCACCGCCCTGAGCCGCGTATAGCCAGCCCATCTGAGATAGCCCAAAATATGACTCGGGGCATCTTCTTGCATCTTGACAACATCAACTATAAGGCAACGATGAGCATAGTAGGGAAAGAGATGGAGAGTCCCTACTGAGTATCCAAGATCTTTCCACAATATGCGAAGGCAAGCCTCATATTGTCTGATAATCTGGGAGAATGGATTTGAAATGCCGCGGCGAAGGCAGGTGCAGTGGGGCATCACACCTGCCAAAATGGGCAAGTGGCTGAGTCGGCTGAACCGCTTTTCAATGAATGCTTCACATTGGAGGGAGAAAGACGCCTGACAACATTCTCCCTTTTATAGCCGCTCGTGGTCAATCGCTGATGGTCGGGGAACTCCGGCATTGAATCAGAAGGCAAATGCAGTAGTTCCCTCTTGAAAAATATGCAGAAGCACCGGGATGAAAAGTTCCAACTCTGAACAAGAGAGCGACTGACTTCTTCCAGAGCTCAGGTGGAAAGCTCCTGGTGCAGGGCATTGCTCGCATTAGATTTCCGCGAGTAAAGATCGACATGCCGGCAAATGTTACTGAGAACCAATGAGTGGGGAAATGAAGTCGGTCAGCCAAAGAGAGTTTGGATACTTTGTTGCTAAGCGATCCATCCCATCTTCGATGTTGCGAGCCATAATCCTGAATACAGCAAGCAAGCCTCCCCCCAACTGATTGACAAACATTGCCAACCAGGCCGTGTTGTGGCGCTGAGTCCATCCTACTACACTGAATCTTTTAGTATTTCTACAGCCGCGCCACCACATAACGCTTCGTTCAGCTGAACAGCGCGGCAAGACGAAAAGCTGAGGTGGGGAAAAAGAACGAAGATGGAGGCTGTTTTGACACTAGTAGATGGGTCTGAGGAAGTGTGTACCTCACTTAACGGGCTGAGAGCTTGCGACAGCCACTCGATGATACTGACACGAGTACATTCGCTTATCGAAAGTTTTCTAGATCGATCAACAATGCAGATCCTAAGTGGTATAAATTCCACCACGATTCTGCAGAGATCTTGCAGTTGAGCACAGAACAATCTCCCGAAGCCCAACTCAGTCAATACAGGAAAGATGGTGTCGAGTGAAGAAACATTGGCCTTATTCCGGCAGACAATCCGTGGGCAAACAGCCACACTCCCAGACCTATACGCTTTGTTTCCCGAATGGAAGGCTGAAATTCATCCTGACTATGAGAGAGCCCGCGATGAAGTTCTCAATCCGTGGATCGAACGGTAAGTACCAGTCTCACTGTGAGCCACTTTTCTAAATTCATCACAGATGGGTGCCAAATCGAGCTACGAGTCGCAAATTTCGAAAGGCAGACTTTGGAGTCTTCGCTGCTATCTTCTGTGTGCGTTCTTCGTTTGAGGTCCTATGTACTGTGTCTAAAGCCTTCGCATGGGTTAGTCCTCTAATCGTCCATTAAATGACCTTAGCTAAAAGCTTAACACAGTATTTTATCTGGGATGATAGTATGAAACCCTGAGAGGTCCTGACTCCGTTAAGCTAGCTTACTGTTGACACGCCTGTAGTTTTCGACTGTGGCATCCTCGCCAACGATAAAGATAAAGCCCAGGAATACTGAGAACAATTAGTACGGTACTTCCACGCCGTACTCGGGGAGGAAGAAGACATCCCCGATCTGTCATACTTCTCAGAGGAGCTTCAATTTGCCTTGCTATGCTGGAATGAAGTCGCCGATCACATTCGACACGTGTGCTCAAAAGGTCAATCCGCCTCGCACTCTGACCTTTTCCGAGCTGACAAAGTCTCTAGCCACCCTAAAGGTCCTTCTGGACCAGAAGCTATACTATGTTGAAAGTGTCGATACTGTGGACACGGTCTACTCGGAAAACCACGTTCCATCACTGAAGCAATATCTGAGCCGGCGTGAACGCACTGCCGGGGTGTATCCGGTTATAGCCACAATCCCGTGGGTGAAACGTCGCTGAACAAACTTTCGCGACTGACAAGATTACTAGCTTCATTTATGATATCGACGTCTCACAACAACAGCTAGATGGCGAGTCGATGCAGTTGTTGTGGAAACGTACGTCGTATTTGGTACACATGTTGGTGCACCTGTGCTAGCCATCCCCGTGACCATGAAGCTGAACACTCATGCAGGATCAACGACATGTTTTCGTTGCGCAAATAGATTGTACGCTTCTTAAATGCTTTCGTCAATCACTACTAACCATCGACCCTCAGGCGGACGGGCAAATCGAGAATCTCATTCCAGTATTAATGCTCAACGAAGGCGTCGACTGCAACACCGCCATGAAGTTAGCTATTATGCTGGTCGATGAGGCAGCACATGGTTTCCATGAGACTGAGAAGCATCTTCGAGCACAACATGACTCTGCACCGCATGAGGAGATTACTGAAGCTTTCCTGGAGGGCTGTAAGAATGTGGTGATGGGGCTGACATATTGGAGGTACGAGTTTGTTTTCGAGTTTTCACACTGAGTGGAAGGTCTTGACTGACAAGTATAGTTATACGGGGCAACGGTATTTCCACCACTCGGAAATCGAAGCTGGAAACACGATTAGATTCAGCTTATGAGAATTGAAGTGGCAAAGGCAATCATTGCTGTAACCGACGGCATATGCATTAGTGTGATCTATCTCGTAACCTTTGAGGGTGAGGTAGCTAGGTACAGTACCATACAGAGCCAGAATTGAGCCTAAGATCTTCCAATTATAAGTGAAAGAGTGCATTTCTGCTTACTTCCGCAAGTAATTCAGCTTGCAGAGTGTATGGCTCACCACTCGAGTCAGTTGCTAAGGCAATCGGCCAACTCAGGGAGTCTGCGCGTCATGCCGGCGACCTCTCTGCATTTGCATCACTATTAACACACTTTTAGCAACTCTTAGAAACCAAGATTGGATTTGGTGGTGCTTTTCACAATGGCTAGCAGGCGAGAATAGTTCCCCACTCAATTTACGCTTTGACCAATGCAGTGTACCACCGCTTGCGAAGCTTACCTTGAATAACCCATTTTGTATAGAGCCGATCTCAGCAATATAATGGGTTTCTACGTCTCTTATTTATGGGTTCTCCGATTGATTACCTGATGAAATAAGGCTTGTTCAATATCTTCCTAACTACTCAAAAGTGAGAGTTTGTGGAATGCTTGGGGTTCGAGTCGGAAGCTGCAAGTGAACCGGACCTTGCGGGTATGCATACCTACTATACCATGCAGGAATCTGTCGAAAAACGTGGACGGCTATGAGTAGGGAATCTGATATTGAAGCTCTAATTCCAGTCTTTCAAATACTGTTGAATAGTTAATCTTTTACTATCAATATGGCCCTAATGGGGGGGGGTTTTAAAGAATCTATATACAATATAACTTCAAAGGTTACACACCAGATACTATCATAGATACTACTCAGTACTATACATATTAATATTTTTACCTAATCAGGTCTAGACCCTGAGTGTTTATAGTCTAGGATATATGTATACTCTAACTAGAAGTAGAAAGATGAAGCACGGGGGGAGAAAAAAAAGAATCACATGAAATCAGCTTATCGAGGCCTAGTGCTGCCCAATTTTTGATTACTCTTATTCCCAAGCTATGTAAAGCAAGATTACTGCTTTTCTAATATACTCCAAGTGAGATATTTACTTTTATGACAGAACAATCACCTGGCATACAAATTAGTCTGTTAATCGGATGCTGCCCGATTGGGGTGCATATGCTTGAAGGAGGGGGCAGCCACGTTCCACCAGCAAACTGAAATAGCACGATCAGACCGCTTCTCGGCGAGCATTTCAGTCGAGGCTTAATTCCGGCGACTCCTACATTACCAGGCTCTACGACGTTTTCCACCCTCACTCATGGAACAGTTTGCTGGCCTTCCGTGGAAGCCTCGTCGCTACAAGCGAGTCCCTTATTACTCACTTTGTGGTCAAAGATTTGCAACAAGTACATACATTCGCGCACGTATGTCGCAGATAATATGGCTCTTACTCACCTGCTAATGATTGCAGTCATTGAATTACAAGACCAGACTGCTGTTTGGACTCCAGATGCCACTTTTCGGGAAGATGGTCGGACGATCGAGAATCTATACATAGCTATACAAAATTATCCACGACGAAAGGCAAGATATGCGCCTGCGGTCCATAGTATCTGCCTATCTGCTGTAGTGGATCTACCAAAGAGTGTTATAATTTACGATATAGGTCTCGCGATGATACCTCATATTTGGACGACAATACCACGGGAGGCCTACAGGAGTCATGAATTCCTTCAACAATCACTCCACTCGCTAGTTTGCGCCTCAGCCAACCCTCAAATCCACCCAACGATGATGAATATCTAGAGCTGCTCAGAAGATGCAGGCAACTTCCACCGGAACTCGGGACAATGATCTGGGACTTCATTTCTCCTGGCAGTGTACGCTCGATTCTGGCACTCCAGGCTACGAAACATCTCTGGTCAACCCCTTCCGTTACAAACGGAACTGCGACTCCCTCGTTGTATGGTGACCTTGCTTTATACTACACACATGTCCTGAAGCAGACATACGTGTGTGGCCTTCGTCAGGGAGAAACAGTGTACGGCCACGAAAGCGAACATTCTGCAGCCGTATCAGTCCCTTCCTCGAAAGCGGCAATGATATTCACAATCGAGATTCATGGGCTATCTCAGCTGGCATTTGTGTCGGAAGTACCCAGCGCCAATGTCCGATACTCGGTTCCGTGGAGTCATCTACCCTCAGACGAAAGAGTTGCGTGTAGATCTCAAGTGGGATGCAAGTGCCTGTTCCCGGTTACAGGATCTTATGAATATAGAACTTCAGATTTGTAAACCTTCGACATCGGCCTTTGTGATGAATAGACATTCGGGCATGACTTCCTCTGGTCATCTATACTTCCTCCTGCCTGCCCCTCTGCGGATTCCTTTTATGATTGGCCGCGGCATGTTGACTTCTCGACCCAGGCTCAGCGACTTATGGAGTATATCCCTCTGCAAAACGAGGAAGGAAAGCTTTACGGACTTACGGCATTTTGCTCGAACGCGGGCATTGTCGGCATTAGAACCCATTTTCGCTCCTGCCCTCATCAACCTTCTCGCGGAGAATCTTCTTCTTCTACCCACTGGTATGGGCGACAGTTCGGTTGCCCTATCCACTTCCGCCTTGATCGTCGAAAAACCATAAGTTCAGTGTTTGTTCTCTGAGAGCAAAATGACTATCTACCCGAGCCTTATCTAGCTGTATGCTGTGTCTCTTCTCGCGGAAGAAGCTGCATACTTACATGGGCCTAGGTAACCACCAGCAAAGACGAAATATACTTTCTCGGTCCCTACATCGAGTCCAGCCGAACATGTACAAAGAGCATATTTCATGCAGACAACGGAGATCTCCAGGGTCTCTACTAGGATAAGTCGCCGGGCATTACCGCATTCACGAGCCTAGGTAGTATTTACCAGCCGCACAGGCACCCCGTTACACTCCAGGTTGTTTCTACCATCCCGCTGCGTCAACACATGGAGCTTATAGATGTCCTTAATCCTCCAAGGTTCTTCTCGCAGGCACCGTTGAGGCATGTCCGATCCCTGGTGGCTTGCTATCCAGAGTCTCGATGTACGGGACTTCACCTCTGCTACCGCGACGGCACCGAGCGCATCCTGGGCCAGTGGTACGAAGATACCGATAAACGACCAGAGTATGATGCCTTGGCCTCTCGGGATGGCAGTATACTGGGATTTTATTTTGCGCAGGAAGATCGGGACGGTATACTTCTCCGGGTGGGGATTGTGCAGGATGCTGCTGCTGCTGCTTCACAGGCCGATGAGAGATTTGTTGATATGATGGAAGGGGTAAGTATGAGATAGTCACCTTCTTACCGGCTAAGCTGACAACCATTAGGATGAGGCTTACTGGCTGTTCACGGATTATGATGATCTTATATTCGCTGGTTGAGGATCACGGGTGCGTTGTTATTGGGCTGGATAGTACTGGAAACATGCATGGAGTGCAACCACCCAAATGTCTGGATTTCTGGATATAAAACTTTTCTGTGTATTTGACTATAGTCCTTGATCAGTACTTGGCGTGTTACACTTTAGAAGGGCCTTCTAGAACAGTTTGAGAGCATTCTGTGGTAGGCATTCCCTTTAAAAACTTCGTTCTGCGCGTGAATCGCCATGCCAGGGCCGTTTAAGTTTGATTACAGTCTTGAGGGAGGGAGTCGATGAAGCCTTGTCCCCGATTGCCGCTTGCAAGAGCAGGCGCTAATTGTGTATGCTCTAGCAAGTCTCCTCAACTTATCTATACTCATCCTCCAAAGTACGGGTGATACTCTTCCAGTCCAGAAGATCCATGAAAGAGAACTTTCAACTACTATGTTCATTCTCCGGCGCTGCTCAAGACCGGTATTGTCAATCCTGCAGCTCTGCATCTCACGCATCGCTCAAATGGGCCACGACTCATCTGTCTCAATTCACCGGCGGGTCTGCAATAGAAAAGCAACCGTGTACCGCGTCATGCCAGCAGCCGCTGGCCTTGCTGCAACTGTGAGCTCTGGAGATTTGATATCGTGCTTTCCATACAATCTCAGCAGGCGAGGGGCCTCATTCTACTCGCTGTTCCTGACAGCCCAGCTGGTGCACGCGAGAATAGTCCTACCCACGCAGTCTATGGCAGTAAGCTTACCTTCAAAGCGGATGGCAGACCCCCTCCCTTGTCTTCTTTCCCAGGGTCTTCCCATCTCCCACCTCGGTTTTCTCCTAGGCCGACTTCCACGGCCCTCGCCAAGCGTGGTATACTACCCTGCCCTGCCGCAGGACTCACGTTTACGTGAGTTTGTATTGTCGAGAATCAACTTTCATCGGCTGCAGAAATGCGTATTTTGGATCTAAAAATCGTTGTGTTAAGACCTAAATATATGTATATTTGAAGTGGGTTTGTTCAATGTCATAATAGTTAGGGGTAAGGTCGATAGGGGAGTCGGGTATAGTCGCAAAGCTGCAAGTGAACCCACTGGACCAGCTAGATATGGCTAGCATACGTACTATGCATGGATTCGTGATTAGCGAACAGAGGACTGGTTCTGGTCGTATGTGGATGGGTTCAGTCTGTTCGGGTACCCAGAATGCAGAGACGAGGACAACCCCCGAAGACAGAGCGGTGTCATCGGACTCGAGGATGTTGTTTATACTCATACGGACAGCTTTCCAGCATGGGGAAGTTGGTAAGGCAAATTCAGCATGATTGCGGATAGAATGGACCATATACTACAACGAAGGTGAGCCAGCATGAACCGAGGTTCCATTGCAAAGTGTTCATAGAGACTGCTAGGGGCCATGGAAGAATCGATATATTGATAAATCCGCCTGGTGGGTCTAAACCCCGCGCATTGCCGACAATCTGGGATATTCTGTATGCTCTAACCAGAAGTGGAAAAGATAAAGGAAACGAGAAAAGGAAAAAGATAATTAAACCTCCTGCATGCATGAGACTAGGAGATTAGAACGGAACCAACTCATCATCTTACGTCACAACATAAGTATCCATTCGAAACATCAGAAAAGGGAAAACAAGCAGAGTATCATGATCGAACCATAACCGTACATACATGACATGTAATCAAGAAGGAAAAGACGTCATTATTCAAGAGTAAGGGTAGAGGGGGAAGGCTGCACGAAAGAAGGATGCATGCAACATTTCGGGTGCAGTAGAGTGGATACAAGGGGGGGAATTCGGGGCAATAAGGGATATCATAATATTGGAGACGAAACGATGTCGCTTCATTCGAGGTTACTCCTGGATGAGTCCAGCAGCTGCGATCGAACAGTCTCAGCTTTTGATTGCTCAAATCTCACTGTGCAAGATTCGCTCCGGACTCACCGCCAGCTTGCGTTTGGGGTTCAGTATTCTGTTGACTGGAGGAGCCTCTCCGGTGGAACGGGTGGGGGTGGAACCCCGAGAAATGAAACACCTTGCGGACGGCACTGGCGACGCCGGAGCGGCGTTTCGACTCGGGCGATGATGGCGCCCGGTCCCCGCCTGCTGTTGCTGCCGTCGTGGTGCTGTCCTCTGGTCGGCGAGGGATGGTCGCGTCGTCCTGGAGAACAATCGAGGTCTGGGTCGGTTTGGGGGGCCATTGGCCGTCGGCCTTCCAGCCCTGGACCATGGCTTTGGTGACGTCGGCGAGGTTGATAGGGACGGTGGGCGTGAGGCCCTGGATGACGACTTTGGAGTAGATGGAGGGGTACATGGCTGGCGTGATGGAGGCGCGGATGGGATTGGTCCCAGAGATCAGCGAGGGGACGACGGGAATGAAGGGCTCTTCCAGGGTTCGAAGCGGCTGTTGCGCTTGCGGTTGTTCTGAGGATGAAGTCTCCGTGGTGGCGCTGGAGGTCTCTTTCTGGGGGCCCGGTTCGGTGATGATGGTTTCCGTGGACGCAGTCGGGTCCTTCTTGTCGTCCGCGACCGTTGACGGCTCAGCCTCCTCGCCGTCCAGCTGCGCCAGGTTCTTCGGCTCTCCAAGACTAAGGGCGGCTTCTGTCCTGGCGACAAGGTCGCTTGTCGGAGACCTTGGCGGGCTCTGTACTGCCGCGTCCGATGACGATAACGAGGACTCCGTTGCGTGCCCCTCCTCCTGCTGCCGTTGATGCTTATTCAGGGTTTTGGCGCGGATCTCGTCCTTGGTGTGGGCTCCCGACCACGCATCTCGTCGCTCCACCCACGCTCGCAGCCCTTCGTTCCAGCGCATCTCCTCCTCCATCTGGCGGCGGCGTTTGCGCCGGCGCTCCGAATCATCGCCCAGGGGTGTCGCGATCGGGCTGGAGATCTCCGACGGCGTGAAGCCCGGCAGCTGCTGGACATCAGCGGGATTGATGGTCGGGGAGGACTGGGGTTCCAGTTCGGAGCCGGAACTGTCGTATTCGCGCAAGCGCCATTCGAGCACGTCCTGCTCCGGCGTGGGCGGTGATGAGAACGAGGGGATGCCGTATTCCGGGGACAGTTCGAAGACCCAGTCATTTCGCACGATGTCGCGGACATATTGCTTGGCCTCTCGGATGGCCGCATCACGGGCCTCGGTGGTTGACATGGTGGGTAGGTGGGTGAGTGCAATGTGACAGGTCGAGCAGAGGGGTAAGAATAGAAGCTGCGGGGAAAAATTCAGGATGACTGGCGACAATCCCGAGGAAGATTTAGCTCAGACCAGAAGATTGAAGCCTGTCAAAAGAAATGAGAGAAAATGGCGACAAAAACTGACCCGAGAACAAAATAGACTAAGACCAGAGGAATGAAGGAAAACCTGGTGGAGAGTTTGGGGGGGGGGGGAAGATTGTAAGTTGCAACTGAGGAGGAGCCGAAAAGGTTGGCTGATCCAAAGGCGGCGGCGGTTCGTCGATGTCATTCCGAGGTCGAGCCCTTTCAGGTTCACAGTAGCTCGATTACTTCTTCCGGAAGTACTTACCTGTACATCCACTTCATCATATTGAATACCTCAAATCCAGACATTTCTATATACCAAAAATCAAAACATTCTATTCCAGAAGATAGCAGGTATCTGCAATATTGTTACAGGTTCATGTCGCTAATTAGTGTACAATTGGTCGTCATTGCCTGCCTGCCCTTCCATCCCAGTCCGCTCCAGTCCGAAACCTCCAAAACCATATAGTAGAGTGAAATAACAGTTGATCTATACAAGAATGCTCATCGAAGCCCTCCGGTCAGGTCCGTACGCGCGCAGCCTCTTCGGCCGCCGCTGATGCGTCCGCGGGAGCCGGGATAAATCCCCAGCCGGGACTCTTCTTCCGCCGTCCTTTGCGATCACCATATTGTTCATCGAACTTCCGGATGGCGGACAAAGATGCCATGTCCTCGCTGATGGATGCACTGATTTCCTCCATCCCCCGTTCAAAGTGCTTCCAGGTCAACGTGCGTCGGGCTGGGTACTGGTAGGGCTCATCGCCTTGGTGCTGTGCCGCCAGTTCGTTCTCCTCTCGCACACAGGCCAATGCGGCAGCCACTGAAAGGTTCTTCAAGTCAGAACCTGAATACAGCGGAGTGCGGCGCGCCAACTCCGCAAGGTCGATTGTGCTGTCGAGAAGTTCGTCCTTCAGATGGATCTTCAAGATGGCCTGCCGATCCTGCTCAGTCGGAAGATCAACCAGAAGGCGGCGGGGAAGACGTCGCAGAACAGCATCATCAAGATCAAAAGGTCGGTTCGTGGCAACCATGATGAAGGCAGAGAGGTCGTTCATCCCGTCCCACTCGCGCAGGAACTGATTGATGAGCTCCCGGTGCGAGGTACGGCTGCTGGCACGGGTCCGAGAGCAAAAGATGGCGTCCGCCTCATCAATGAAAACGACACATGGGCTGAGCTTCTTCGCGAGCGTAAAGATAGCCTTGACGTTCTTCTCACCTTCACCCACGTACATGTCATAAACTTCCGAGCCGCTGACTTCAAGAACGGTGGCACCACTCTCGCGGGCTACAGCCTTGGCCAGGAGTGTCTTACCGGTTCCAGGCGGCCCGTAGAGCAGTAGACCAGGAATCTTGTCCGTAGCCAGAACACCGTAGGTGAACGCCTCGGGGCGGATCAGAGACAGCGAAGTCAGTGTTTTGAGGGCGTCGATAGTCTCTGGAGGCACATGAACGTCCGAAAACGTGGTCCGGATACTCTGCGCATCAACAACTCCGTTCAGCAGCTTCTTCTCATATGAGTTGCACGTCTTTCGTAAAGAGCTCAGCAAGCGCTCTCGGTCGCCTGCTGCGCCTCCTGCTTTAGCTTTGGGCGCCTTTTCTTGCAGCCAGTCTTTCTTGGCCCGTTCGCTCTGCTGTGTCATTTCAATGCCTCGACGAACGTGCTCAAAACCAAACTGTTCACCAGCCTTGAGAGAGCCGAGTGCCAGCGTGCAGACCCAGTGGACTTGGGAATAAGACCAATACCGCTCTTCCAAGCCACTCTGTTCCACAAGAGACGAGTCCAATGGCCAGGCACGATCACGGAAGAGATCATCCTTGAGTGCGGCGGCTTGTTCGTGCAGTCGCGTGCGAAGCATGTCCTGAATGTGGCGGATGTTGATATCTAACGTCCGCTTCCGTTGGTCCTCTGCAAATGTACGCGCTGCCGCCTCCGAGCTCATGTCAGGCGTGACAAGCAGCACTTGAGAAAACTGGTCATCGGGAGCATTCTGCATTAGTCGAGAGGAATCTGCACCAGGTGCGGCTTCCTGTGCCATCGTCCCAACAAACAAGACCCGGGATCCGGCCTTGCGCTTTTCTTCAATTGCTTTCCGCAGGATGATTATGAACTTGGCGCCTTCGCGAGTATCCTGAATCTCGTCGTAGTCCTGGACCTGGACGATGACATCGCGAGCGGCTGGGGTCGCTTCGGGCTCGGAAACCGCCGATTTTACGGGCGCGTCGCCGTCCGCCTCTTTCAACGCCGGTGGTGCAGGCTTCCTACTAGAGGGGGAAATGAGTTGACGGGCAAGCCGAAGTCGTCTACTTTCTGGTCTCGATGCGGCGTTCGCGCCATCCGCTGCCGGATTGAACAACTTCAACCTAGATAGTACGTCATGGATTTCTCCAGACGATCCTAAGATGAATCGTTGACCAACTGCCGGAAGATCGGATGATGAGTGCAATGGTTGCAGAGTTTCGTCATCATTGTCGGCCTCACTCGAATCCACTCCATCTTGTGAAGCCTCCGGCATAGTAGGTCGATATACATCATAGCCCAGGGAACGAATCGCATCGGTTTTCCCGGTATCCGTCAGATCCTGTTCGCTACATAACTCTGCGATGTCCTGTGCGTTCAGCGTCACCAGGTCTGCGCCAACCTCCTGAGCCAACCTCTTGACTACCGCGTCCAGAAACAAGATCCCATCTGCACCCGGATACTGCAGAACCAGATGTGACTTCCGGGCTGAGGGTTCTTGGGCGTACCTTGCCGGCGGCAGACGCATACCAGCGCGTGCAGATGCACACAGCTCCTCCCACATGGCATCCGTCAAGGCGTAGCGGTTCTCTTGCGGCGTAGACTCGTCCGAGGCCGGTGGGCCCTCGCCATGACCACCTTGACCGAGCCTTTCGACTGAGGACGCTTTCTCCGCGTTGAGATCCGACGTTGACCGAATCTGCACTTGTTGTACCGAGACTCCGGCATTTTCGCCCTTCCCATCATGAACGACGATATTGCGCTGACGAAACCACTCTGGTACCGTAGTGACGGGAACAGTTAATTGCGCTGACGCTTTCCGGTTCCTCATTACCCTCCGAAGAGCTGAACCGTAGGGCTTATCAGTCTTGTTTTCATGCTGCTCCGACGCCGGTTTGGTCTCGGAGGTATCGCGGTGGGCGAGGTCTGGTTCAGCATTTAGGGTCGGAATGTCACCGGTGACGGTATCTTTCGCCGAGTCGCGAGGGTCCTGAGGGTCAGATGGGGTGGATGAGAGCCATGCTGGCGAGGGATGGAATCGCCGTGAATGGGCGAGGATTGCGGCGGGAAAGCGGCGATGGGCGATAAACCGACAGGGTCGCGCCAGAGACCAAAGGAACCTGCCTTGGGGCATTGGCGGATACATCCAGGGTGAGCGAGGCCACCAGATTGTGAGGTACGGAAGAGAGTGCTAATGCTGCACCAAAACCTTCGTCTGCATCGGCGGTGAAGTTGCGACCACGGAGTAGGAGCCCGAACAAGGACTTTCTACCTGGTCCGCCTCCTGCTGGGGCGGAGAGCAAAAGTGACATCACGTGACAGTGCCGTGATCTGCAATCTACGCGCTGCAAAAGCACCTGTCGAAGATTAGCACCGCGCGACCAATGATGGCAGTGGAGCATGCTAATAATATTGCGCTGTATAGATTGACTGTTTGATGCTTTATATGGGGCATTTGGCAAAGACTCTTCACGAGGAAGAATGGATGTGTCCTACAACAATGCTTAATTTATGCTCAAACAGGCGATGCTGGAATCAGGGGATTTGAACAGCGGACTGGCTCCAATCAACCCGTGCTACAAAGGCAAGGTCATCACCGACAGGTACGAGATCCACGAGTATGGCGCCGAATCCCAGTGCCTGGATTAATAGACGTGGCGTTATGCAGACTGATATCAGTGCCAGATGGCATTCTACAAAATGATTACAAAAGAAATAGTTGTATAGCATGTTCGAGTGGGACAAGTATCTTGAATTTCATTGTATCTGAAGCTATTTGTCCAGAACCCCACGTGCATGAGGATGATCGACGATCCGCCGACATCCTGATGCCACTCCGTTGTTCGACGTCATTTCGGAAAGCGGTAGAACTACTATAGCATACATTAGCCAAGGGTTCAACGAACTTCATTGTACAAAGAGGTTCGCGTGAATCAGACAAGCCATGATGCAAATTGTTTCTCAGACCAAATATACTGGCAAGTAGCAGACCAACCGGGAAAGGGAGGTCCGAACTGTCTCCTCATGGACGATTCAGAAGGTAAAGAAGAGAAAAAGGTTTTATCATCTTCGAAACAATTCGCAAGGCGACGAATGGGCATGGAGGAAAGGGGGAGAGAGGACTAACCTGCTGCGAGTGGCAGATCTGCGGAGGTGACCTGATCTGTTAGCGACGTTGGATGGTCTGATTGTCAGAACCAAGAGATATCGAGCATGAGATAAAGACTGTTCCCCTGCCTGCAAGGGATCAGAATTCACAATCATATACAAGACAGCATCATGTCTGTTCGGCTTTCCGGCTTTCCGGCTTTTCAGCTGAGTTTTCACTCTGGTCGAAAGTGTGTTGAGAAGATGAAAAAAAGAAAGCAGAAAACTAACCAGCGGACATAAGTAGTAGAAAAAAAAAGTAATGCCCACTACGGAACAGCATTGATCCGGACGCCACGTGATAGAGGCACCTTGCCTGATCGAGGTGTTAGCGTGACTCTGGACGAGGCGCGGACGGCGATTCGCCGATCGGAAGGAAAGAGGAAGAAAAGGCGGAAAAAAGGCCTCATATACCCAGCGAGAAGAGAGAAATGCGATACAGAGAGACACAACGAGAAGAACAATCTCGCTACGAAAAAAACAATATCATAAAAATAATACTTTATCATCCCACCCCATGGCCATATGCTCTTTACTCTGACTGAAGTCGACTTCTTGTTTTTTTGCCCTCTTTGGAATTTTTTTACATACGACTCCCACTGTTATCGTTGGTCTATACCTCCGTAGTCAAATGGAATAACTCTTGTCGACTGCTGCTGCCAACACGTCCAGTTCTTGCAATCGCGCGGTGCCTGCCTGCCCTGCCGGTCCGTCTCTCTTCCCTCTCTCGCTCTCCTGCTCTTCCCTCTTCCCCGTCTCTCTCTCCCCCCCCCCCCCCAAGTCTCGAATCGCTCTCCTCCCCTCTCATTCTTGTCCTGGTCAGTATCTCCCTCTAATCCTGTTTTTCTCTTTATCTCTCTGCATTTCCCTTCATCGCTTTCTCTTTTTTTGCGCGCTCTATCTTTCTATCGGCCCCTAAAAGTGGTGGTGGTTGTGGTGGTAGCAGCCCCTCCACACTTCTTCCTCCCGCCTCCCCCTAACTAACTAACCATTAAGTCTAATTCCCGTGTATGCACTATTGTTGTATTCTCTATCCCATTCCTTTCCTTTCTGTTCCCTGCGCGTTTCCATTCTCTCCCAGGACGGCCTTTAATCTTCCCTTCTAATCGCGTCCTGCCTTCTGTCACCCGCCTTATTCCCTACCCTTTCCCCTCCCAACCTCCCGCCTCTTCCTCGCCTACACCCCCCTCCTCCTTGTCTCTTGTTTCCTCCAAGTCTTCAATCACACCCTTTCTGACTAATCTCTGCTGACGCTACAGGAATTGTGCAGAACAAGGAATTCTACCTTTCCCTCCCCACCGATCTGGCGGGCAACAGGTGATTAGGCCGGTCCGATCCATGCTGCAGATCTTGGGTGGTCCTGGACGATACCGACGCAGGCTCAATCGCCTGTCAGCTGCGTCTTGGCCTCCGCTCCGGCACTAAAAGCGGCCCTGTTGTGCCCTCCACGTCAAGCGCGCTCGTCGTTCAGTCCCGACGTCCGCCTCTTTCGGTCTCCCCAGAAAACCCTCTCTCTCTCCTTCTCTCTCTCCCTTTTTCTTTCCTCTATTTACCTCCTCCTGTCTCTCTGCTGTCGGTCGCTTTATCGCTCAGCCTTTCGCCCCGGCTGACTCCTTTTTGAACTTTTCCGCCTCTTTCACCGACCCCGAGGAGTCCCGTTATCGGCGGCTTCGTAGCACAGCGATGATGATGGCGCAACCGTTTCCCGCCCCTCAAGGCATCCCGCAGCATCATACTTTACCGCCAGGTCATCCAATGGCTCCTGGTCAACATCCCAATGCTCATCCCGGGGCCGGAATGGTGCAGGCGGTGCACCCAGGTGTGTCGGCTCCCGGAGGGCCTCAGGTCAGCCAAGGTGGACCTATGATGGCAGGCATGCCCCCAGGTGCTGGAACAACGGGGCCTGGAGGGCCAGTGCAGGCTCATGCTCTCTCCCATCTGGGTCCGGCACAGGCACACATGTTTCAGCAGCCTCATTTTGCCCAACAATGTAGGTTCCTTTCTGGTCGCTCGGCGGCTTCGTAAATCGTGCTTTGACTGGACAGTACTGCATCTCACTGGCCAATCATGATGGTTCTTTGCTAACTCACTATACCTCGACCTAGTTGCCGGTAACCCACAACTTATGCACCCGCAGCAGCAACAGGCAATGATGAGGCAACGTCTAATTCTCCAGCAACAGCAGCAACAGCAGCAGCATCAGCAGCATCAGCAGCAACATGGTGGACTTCCGGTATCGTTACCCAACGGCAATCCTGCCGGCCTAACTGCCGCTCATGTCGCCGCCATGCAAGCGAATCAAGGAATGCGACCCGTGAATTTGCAGATGCAGATGCAGCAAATGCCCCACGGACAAGCGCAGAATATCCAACAGCAGCAGCAGCATCTCTTCGCCATCCAAGCGGCCCAAGCGCAACAAGCCCAGCATGTACAACAGGCTCAACACGCGCAGCAGGCACAACAGGCTCAGCAGGCTCAGGCCCAGCAAGCGCATCAAGCCCAGCAAGTCCAGCAGGCGGCCACCCCGGTTCAACCTGGCCAGCAGACTCCGCAGCAACGGGCAGCCGCGCAACCGCAGAGCGTGCACGATGCGCAAAGCGCAACGCCGCAACCCCAACATGGCCCCCCACCACATCAGGGGAGCGCGACTCCGCAACCGAATCCGTCGCAGATACCCACCACCCAGCCCCCGCAGCCGCAGCAGCAGCCTCCCGCTCCACAGCCGCAGCCCACCCCTAATCCGCCTCCGCAACAACTGCCACAGTCGCAGCAGCCTGGTCCCCAACAGCAGCCGCCGCAGCAGCAGCCGCAGCCGCAACCACCACAAAGTCAGCAGGGGACTGTACAGGGACAACAACAACCTCCCATGATGTCCCAGGAGGCACAGCTGAAGGCGGCGCAGCAGCAGCAGCAGCAGAATCCAGCCACGATGATGATGCAACAGCAACCACGAATACCAATGAAAGGGGCCGCAATTCTCCACCTGAATAGCTTCGCAGAACACCTGAGCAGCTTCCAAGTATGTTCTCACATCACCCTCGCGCCCTAGGAAGAGCGATGCTAACATGTTACAGAGCCGCGGTGAGGCACACGATCTCGCCTACTGGCAACAGTTCGTGGGCCGGTTTTACGCTTCTGGAGGCGTCTTACGTCAGGGCGTCTACAACCATCAGACGGGTTCGAAGCAATTCGAGATTGGCACGGTCGCACTGCCTCGCTACTACTACACCCAGTTCACGAGCGGTATCCGCCATATCCAGATGGTTGTGGAGGGGGCTCGGGAGCGGGACTTGCCGAACGGAGGTCACGTTGTGGAGAGCCCCAGAACTTCCTTCATCTACTGGTTCACCAACGATACTCAGGTCGGCACTTCTATCATTGGTTCTAAACTGAAGAAATCTACTGACAGCGAATTTAGCTCTTTGCCAACGGAACGATGACGGCACATTTTGACATGAACAACAAGATCGAGATGCTAGATATCGTTATGTTGAATCATACCGAGTATCTGCCTCGCAGCCAGCTACAGGCCCTAGAACAAGCAGCAGCAGAACTACCAAAGCAGAGTCCCAAGGTTACCAAGAATGCGGGCAAGCGTGGCCAGCAGAAGCAGCCGCCACCGCCCGCGGCTACCTTGCCCGAATCAATGGTGACTTTGAACGGTGTACCGGGTGCTGTCATGCAATTCATGGAGGTGTGTTTCATCCCTCAGCATCCCCCAGGCTATACTGATATATTTCATGATGTAGGTCTCGGAGACGATCGCATCTATGCAATTCTTGATGCAGTTCTCCCAGCAAAACCCTCAATTGACACCGTGGGAATCGTTGCGCAACCTGGTGAATTCGATGCAGAACCAAGTACCTAATCCTGCCTTCATGCCCCTCCAAATGAACCCGGCCATGCAACAAGGTCAGCCCCGCGCCCCCAGCATGAGCGCTCCGAACCAATTCGCCTCCCCAGCCATGGCTCATCTGGGTCTACCTCCTGCTCAAGGGTCTCCCCATCTGAGTGTCTCTGGTCATCCCAGCCCTGCACCAACCCACCTGGCCGGACCTCCGATGCCGCAGGGTCAAGTGCAGGGCAATGGTCCGCAAGTGACCAGTGCAAGTGCTAGTCCCAACGTGGGAACCAAGCGGCGTCGGGCCAGCACGGTGAAGGTGGAAAATGATGATAATGGACCGGATTTGAACGGGGCGCCGGGACCTGTGCCAGCCAAGGTGAAGGCCAGTCCACGCGTGGGCGCGAAGAAGCAAAAAGGGGGCGCTTAATCTTAGAGTAATTGTGGTTTGGGTTACTTTTTGTCGCTTGTCATCTCATATCATTGCAGTCTCACCAGGCGGGAATCGGCGTACCTTGAGGATACTGTGCGAGGCTTCTCTTTCTCCGATGCTTTTCTTCTCATCTGCCGGTGTCTTTTTTTCTTTGTCTCCTTGGCCGCCATTGAACATACGTGCTGGGTTCGGGTGCTATATGCTATTGTTTCTGCGGGGCTGGCTCGATATGGATCAGGTTTCAATTGCAATTAGAAAGTCAACAGGCTTGATTGACACGGCGTCTTTTGAGTCGGTTGTGCCTGTGATTGAACCAGACGACCTTGCATCTAGACCCGATCATTGTCCGGGCAGTTTTTCTGTTTGTTTTTTTTTTCTCTCCCTTTTCCTTTTGCTCTATTTTATTCTCCTTCCATCTCTCACAGCGTTCTGTGGGGGTTGACGTGTGTATGAACGTCGTTGCAGTGAATGTTGTGCTTGTGGAGCTGCTTTATTTGATATCCACCTTACCTGGGCGATTGACGTGATCTTGCTTTTTCCTCTGTCTCTCTCTCGATTCTTGTCTCTTACATCTTGTTATGTTCCAGGCGTTTGGGATATTTTGGGAAGATAATGTGTTGATAGTTGCGTTGCTGCATTGTTGTGTAAGAGAGCATTTCAATTTCAATTCCAATTTCAATTTCAATTCCAATCTTCAATACAAGTTACTTAAGTTAGCCGTCGGATCTGGGCGCCAATCGGGGCAGGGCATCGGCAGTCGCCGTGCAGCCCCTCCACCGCCCCGCCATTAACTTGGTACTTACTCAGTAGATCTACTAATAGTAACTCACCTACCTCCTCCGCCAACCTGAACTCGCTATCTTTTTATCTTCTCTCGTCTTTTTTCTTCTCTTGACTTTCTATCGTCTTCGCTCCCGGATTGTTCAACCCTCCACAACCACACATCATGTCTCACTCTCACTCCCACGACACTGGCGTCAGCCACTCCCACGACGATGTCACCGGCGGCCACGGCCACTCGCACGAGATCCTCGACGGCCCGGGATCCTACATCAACCGGGAGATGCCATTGTCGGAGTCCCGGGACTGGAAAGACCGTGCCTTCACCATTGGAATTGGCGGGTAAGTCTATCCCCTCTGCGAATGACTTATGTGTCTAATTCATATGATTTTTCTCTCAAATCTAGACCCGTCGGATCCGGCAAGACCGCCCTGATGCTGGCGCTCTGCCATGCCCTGCGAGACGAATACAACATTGCGGCTGTGACCAACGACATCTTCACAAGGTAGGTTGCGTTGCGTTACTTCCCCTTTCCCTTAGTCCCCCACAAACCCCCCACCCCGCCCAAATCTCTATTCACACAACCCGGCCACAAAACAGAGAAGACGCCGAATTCCTCACCCGCCACAAGGCCCTGGCGCCCAACCGCATCCGCGCCATAGAGACGGGCGGCTGCCCGCACGCCGCCGTCCGCGAGGACATCAGCGCCAACCTGCTGGCCCTGCAGTCGCTGCACAAGCAATTCCAGACCGATCTGCTGCTGATCGAGTCCGGCGGCGACAACCTGGCGGCCAACTACTCGCGCGAGCTGGCCGATTTCATCATCTACGTGATCGACGTCGCTGGCGGCGACAAGGTGCCCCGCAAGGGCGGGCCGGGCATCACCGGCAGTGACTTGTTGGTGGTCAACAAGTGCGATCTGGCGGCCATCGTGGGCGCCGATCTGGGGGTCATGGAGCGGGATGCTGCCCGCATGCGGGAGGGCGGGCCCACAGTCTTCGCCGAGGTGAAGAATGGGAAGGGGATGCAGCATATTGTGGGCTTGATTTTGAGTGCGTGGAAGGGGTGTGGGGCTTATGAGGAGTGTGTGAGGAGGTGGAAGGCGGGCGGGCAGAGGGGGTCGGGGAGTGTTGATGCTTGAACTTTATCTCTTATGTTTACTTTTCGGGGAGTGTGAGGTTGAGATTATGAAGTGGGGGGAGTGGAGGTGGACTTTAGGTAGTTTGGCACTGTTGTCCGTTGATGTATATGATGATGATCGTTTATTTGCACATTTCTATAGGATATATATATTCAAAGACTGAGAACTTTTTCTTTTCTTGCTTCTCTCTCATCCGCTAAAAACCTCAACGCCGGGAATATGCAGCCATTTAAAAAAAAAGAATACAGCAGCGATGGAAGCCCGACGCTCCAACCACCAGGGTATCTGAGAGCTCAAAAGTCGCAGGATGAACACCCCACCACAACCCCAAACAGAAATACATACACGAAACAGATGAGCTAGAAAGTAGATATATGTTCTTCTCACATCTCCTTCTTCGCAAAGCGAGCCAGAGCAGGCCCCAGCTCCTGTCGCTCGGCCCGCAACTTGTCCTTGGCCCGCGCGGTGCGCTCCTTGTGCAGCAACTCCGCCTTGACCCGCTTCTCGTCGATGACGTTGCGGCGGCCCTTCTTCCGGAGGTACTTGCGCAGGGCGCTGTTGCGGCCGCGGCCGCGGTTCTTGAGCTTCTCCATGGGGTCCTCGGGCTTGCGGTCGAGGTCGCGCTCCTCGCGGTTCTTCTGATCGCGGATCGTGTCCAGCTTGCCGATGAAGCTGGGGTCGAGCGAGATCATGTCCGGCTGCAGCTTGTGGAGCAGGCCGCGCACCTCCGCCTCCTGGCGCTGCTTGGTGTTCTCGTAGGGGTTGGCCTCCAGGGCGTCGAAGTTGGGCTCGCCCGCGCCGGGGACGATGATGCTGGCGAAGCCCTGGTCGTGGCCCACGCCCAGCACATCCTCGAACGGGCACCAGCGCATGTTCTCGATGCGCTGCCCGTCGCCGCCCCACGCCATGTAGGGGCTCTGCACCTTGCCCTGGTCCGCCTGCGCCGCGTCGAACAGCCCGCGCCACACGCTGACCTGCGTGCCCCAGCCCACCGCCGTCAGGTTGCGGTCGCTGATCGCCACCGACGCCCCCGGCTGGTGGCACGAGTACGAGTGCACCTCCCGGAACATCCGGATGTCCCACACGTTCATCTTCTGGTCCTGGCCCGTCGACACCATGTACCGGCCCTGGCGGTCTATAGCCATCGACCGCACCGGGCCGCGGTGCACCAGCGCCTTCACCAGCGCCGTTTGCGAGTTCGGCGACCACAGCGTCACGCTGCCGTTCTGGTGGCCGACGTGCAGGATGGCGTTCCAGGGGTTCTGGGCGAGGGAGGTCGGCGCTCCCATGCGCGTGGGAAGCTCGGCCACCATTTGACCGGTCGAGGTGTCGGTGTATTTGAGGTAGCCGCTCATTTGCTAATGGTTTTGAGATATTAGTCTAGGACATTGAATCAAGGCCTCGAAAGATACTTACCGCGCTAGCGAGAAGGAAATGGTAGGGCAAGAATTCGAGGAAGAGCGGCTCGAGGTGCTTGTTCAGGCAGTGCAGCTCCACACCGGCGTGATCGTAGATGTAGACGGATCGCTTCTGCGCGACGGCGAAGTACTGGTTGTTGTGCAGCCACCGGGCGTCCCGGACGGTCTCGTTCAGCTGCAGCTCGCAGCCCAGCTTGCCGTTCCGCCAGTCCATCGTCGCAACATGGCCCTTGCGGCCCGCCAGCAGCAGCTCGCGGCCGTTCCTCGTATAGTCACAGCGGTAGGGGCCCATGTCGGTCAACTTCAGCTCGAACCCCTTCTTGGCCGTCTCGATGCCCACGTTATCCCGGATATCGCTCTGACGCACCTTGTACGTCCGCTCCAACTCGCCCTCGGTCTCGATGAATCCGGCCTCGTGCTCCAGCAGGATCTCCGCATCCTTGGCCCGGAGCGCGGCCTCCTTGAACTTGGCTTCGACGGCCTTCAGGTTGCTGCGCAGCTTCTTGTCCCGGATGCTGTGGGTGTGAATGCCCTTGCCGCGGCCGTAGGTCTTTTGCGCTTCCATCACTCTTTTGCTTTCCTTGCGCTTGTTGGGGTTGGCGTTGGTGTTGGCCGTCGGCGCAATGGCCTTTGTCGGCGTGGATTCCGACATTGCGGGCGGTGGGAGGTGAGCGCTGAGGATTCTATGAAATCCGGTGAAGAGAGATCTGGGTGAGAAATTTCCTCTAAGCTGTCGAAAGTTGACGTTTGACTTGAGGACCAACAGTCACTTGCGATCTGCAATAAAAATCCGAGCCGAACTTTTCTTTTTCTGCCGGTCGGATCCCTCGCTTGTGTCTCCACCGCCTTATTTTTTTCTTTCCTCTTCCCCAGACCAAAAGTCAACAATCGGGCCCGATTGGATTGAGTCTCAACCTCAGGCTCTTTTAGCTCTTTCTTTTGGCTCTTTCTCTTTGCTTCTGGAAGACGGACTCTTCTGCAGGCTCACGAATAACTGCGAATCTCCCACGCTGGCCTCTCTTCCCTTCCGGTTCAAAGCGCCCAGCGGTGCCAACATGGCGCCCACTCAAGCGGTGCAACACCACCACCGCTCCACCACCAAATCCTCCAACAAGCCCTACAAGACTCGCCATGCCTCGAAGAGTGCTCTGAAAGATAAGGAGAAGGGTGCGTCTATCTACCTACATATCTATCGCTCTACCAATTAAAACTTCCCGGGCCGCTAAAATATCATCTTCAGGCAAGGTTGAAAGGCCCGAGCGGGGCACCCGCAAGACCCCTCACCAACAGCTCATGTCGAAACTCGATCGGAGGAACCAGGCTCGCCAGAAACAGCAGCTGAAACAACAGGAGAAGGCTCAGTCGACCAGCATTTTCTCCGGCCAGAACGGCGCCCCCCGCCATGTTGCCGTTGTGCCGCTCTCCGTCGATATCGATGTCGCCGCCGTCATCCGGTCCCTGAACGAAAGCGTCGACGTCTCCGCCGATGTCTCCGCCGATCAGATCTCTCGTGTGCGCGTCGAGCGATTCCGCCAGAGCCTGCAGTACATTCCGGCCAAGTACGACCTCATGAGCGCGCTGGATGCGTGTCGGATGGCCGATTTCGTGGTGCTCGCGCTTTCCTCCCAGGTCGAGGTGGAGGAAGAGGGAGAATTGCTGCTTAGATCCATCGAGGGTCAGGGTATCTCCAACGTTGTTGCTGTGGTTCAGGTGCGTCTTTACGGTCCACGGGTGGTGTATGGCTCACGTGCTAATGATATCCGTTCATAGGGCCTTGATAAGATCAACCCACCGAAGAAGCGTCCCCAGGTTGCGGCATCCCTCAAGTCTTTCGTTAGCCATTTCTTCCCCTCCATCGAAAAGGTTCTCTCCGTGGATTCTCGTCAAGAATGCTCCAACGCGGTTCGCTCTTTGTGCACGGCCGCCCCCAAAGGTATCCGTTGGCGCGACGAGCGCAGCTGGATGCTCATCGAAAATGTGCAATGGCCCGAGAACAGCGCCGAGGTTGTGGACGATGTGGTCGTGACCGGTGTCGTGCGCGGAAAGGGCCTGAAGGCCGATCGCCTCGTTCACATCCCCGGCTGGGGTGACTTCCAGGTCGACTCTATCACAGCAGCTCCTCTCGCGACGGCGCGAAGCAAGCGGGACGATGCGATGAACGTGGATGACAACGAGGCGCCGCAGCTCTTGGACTCGCCTACGGCGGATCACGACGACATGGCCACCGTTGCTCCCGAAGAGATCGAGATGGAGGACGACGAGTACTCCTTCGCTGGGGAGGAGCGCAAGGGTGTCCTCCTGGACGACCACCACTATTTCTCCGAGGATGAGGAAGACAGCCTGCCCAAGCCCAAGAGACTGCCCAAGGGTACTTCCAAGTATCAGTCCGCATGGTTCTTGGACAACATCTCCGACTCGGGATCCGACTGGGAGGATGAGGAGGACGTTGCGATGGGTGACGATACGATGGACACTGCCGGCGCCCCTGAGGACGGTGTGTTCCCAGACCACGGGGATGCCATGACAGAGGCTGGTCCCTCGGAATATCCCCAGTCCGAGATGTTCGTTGATCCGTCGCCCGAGGATGATGCCCGACAGCTGGAGGAATACCGGGCCAGCCGCCGCAACGAGGCCGAGGAGGACCTGGAGTTCCCTGACGAGATCGAGCTGCACCCCAACGTTCTCGCCCGCGAGCGCTTGGCCCGCTTCCGCGGTCTGAAGAACTTCAAGACCAGCCCGTGGGAGACCTCCGAGGACCGCGCGCACGAGCCCGAGGACTGGCGCCGACTGCTCCAGTTCGCCGACTACAAGGGCGCGAGGAACAAGTTCCTCCGCGAAGCTCTCGTCGGCGGCGTCAACCCCGGCGCGCGGGTGGATGTGCACCTGCGCGCTGTGCCCGCCGCCCTCCGCAACCGCCCGCAACCCCTCTCCCTCTTCTCGCTGCTGCGTCACGAACACAAGCACACGGTGGTCAACATCAACATGCACCTCAACTCGAGCGTCGAGGAGCCCCTCAAGTCCAAGGAGGAACTGATCGTCCAGTACGGCCCGCGCCGCCTGGTCGTCAACCCGATCTTCTCCGCGGGCGACAACACCCCCAACAACGTCCACAAATTCGACCGCTTCCTGCACCCCGGCCGCAGCGCCGTTGCCACCTGGATCGGCCCCTTGACCTGGGGCGCGGTGCCCGTGCTCGTCTTCAAGAACAAGAAAGCCGCCGCCGCCGAGGACCCAGAGGAGATGGCCGACGCCGTCGACGAGGCAGAAGAAAGCCCCCGTCTCGACCGCCTCGAGCTCATTGGCAACGGCACCGTCATCGCCCCGGACCAGAACCGCGTCGTGGCCAAGCGCGCCATCCTCACGGGCCACCCGTACAAGATCCACAAGCGCGTCGTCACCGTGCGGTACATGTTCTTCAACTCCGAGGACATCCAGTGGTTCAAGGCCATGCAGCTGTGGACTCGCCGCGGCCGCAGCGGTTTCATCAAGGAGTCCCTCGGTACGCACGGTTACTTCAAGGCCACCTTCGATGCCAAGATCAATCCACAGGATTCCATCGGTATCAGTCTATACAAGCGGGTGTTCCCGCGCAAGGCGCGGACTCTGGAGGAGGTGGTCTACTAAGCTTACCTACTTTCAGGCGTGTTGGGTATCTTTCCTTGGTTAGAATTGCCCAGGGGATGCTAGGGGTGTGCGAGAGAGCACGAGATAGATTATCTATGATACCACCGAACCTTTCTTTTTTTTGCTTTTCGAGGCATATGAACCATTGACGATGATGCCTATGTCTGTGGATCTTTCTTGAACTACAGTCATCAATTTACAACAAAAAGTACAGTACATCTTGTTGCGTTGAACATTTCTCTTCCCTTGGCAGGATAGTTATAGATAGCAGGTCAGGCTTTAATGATGAGTTACGAGATTTGCGTTCTTCTCTTCCTTCTCTTGGTCTTAGGTCCTTGTCCATTGTTGTATTCTCACAAGTATATCATATTCAAAATTCATGGCCCTGACTACGGAGTAGTTACAGTAACCATAGGGCTACCTATTACTGGATCAATGCCTCGCCACGTGACCCCAATCTCCCGATCCAGAGTCCAGCACTGTCAACCGAATAAAATAGTTCTGCCACCCCTCCCCGCCCGATAAGCTCCTCCTCCGGCCGGAGATCTACAGACAGACAGACACACCGACACCGACACTGACACTGACACTGACCTTCTATTCTCCGAGCCCATTATCTACAGCATTGTACAAATTTAAAGCACACCACCCCCACCACCTCACTCCCCCTCCCAAATCTCAACTCACAAATACAAAATAAAAAAAGGATGAGCCGCAACTTCGTCCCCGTAGCCCTATCCATCGGCGCCGGCGTCCTCGGCGGTGCGTTACATACACTCTTTCCCTGCTCCTGCTCCGGCTCCTGCTCCGGCTCCTGCTCCGGCTCCTGCTTCCCCCGTCCAAAAAGCGTCCGGCTGTCCCGGCGCATTCGCTACCCCAGAACTGACAATTTCTTCCGGGGGCAGGGTACTACGTCTGGCAACCGTATTTCAAGGAGATGCAGCAGCGCCAACAACACCAGCTCCAGCAGTCGTTGAATCCGTATGTGTTTCCGATCCACACTTCCCTGGGATTGAGGTCGGAGGGGGTATATGGATAATTGGGCCTGGGCTTGGGAGGATCACTTGACAGAGAAACCAAGGGGGAGGGGGCATGCTGTATAGGATCGATGCTGATGGTTGGGGAAACGCTCTAGGAATTCTACCGAGACGGCACCGCAGTCACAAGTTCCGACATCGACACCGACACCGACACCGACACCTCAGGAGGTGGTTCCTCCCTCTGCGACAGGGGATTCGGGGTCGGGGGAGGCAGCGGGGCAGTGAGTGAGGGGTTTTTGGGGTTAGTCAGATGGATGGATATATCACTAGATTTTGGCGCCATGGTGCAAGGTGCAAGGTGCTTGCCAGGCGTGCTGCTGGGCGGTGCGGATGAGCACTTCGCTATATGCAGTGCTCTCACTGGGCTTGGGGGGAGCTGGAAGAGTCCCATAGCATCGCGGGTGCTGTTGGCTGTTATGCACCAGACGTGTCGAATACTCTGCTTGTGGGGAAAGAGGAAGCTCCCTCGAGGAAGACATACTACCGAAAGAAAGCAAAAGGCCATCATGTATACTATCATATTGTATCATACAGTCACATAAACAAGAAATCATTCGATTTAGAACACATGTCCCTTCCTGGTTTAAGACCCCCAGTAAAACGCCTCCGCTCCAATTGTGCGCCGCCGAAACCCTCCCTCGCTCCTTTCTATACCTCTTGGACAAGTTTGCCCGACCCAGCGCCGAAGACCTGTGCAGCCGGCGTGCCAACCCACTCCTCCGGCACGCCCACGCGGCTGCCAGCCCGGCCACTGACCCAGCGCACCATCGTGGGGTCCGGCTTGGAATACGCTTCCTGGATCTCTTGATCGGCGGTGGCATTCTCGGCAGCCTCGGCGGCGGGGATGCGTCCTCGGCGCTTGGGGGCCTGCTTGCGCAGCAGTCGGTTGATGGTATCCATCTAGAACGGTGGTTAGTGCGCGCGCGCGGGGTCATGAGCTTGACAAGGTTCGATTGGGATCAAGGATCACACACCTTCTCTTCTTCGTTCCGCTTCTCGCTAAGGTTCTTTCGGCGGCGGGCCATTTCCGCACGGCGCATAGCGCGCTCCTCTGCGGTCAGGTGCTTCTTCACCTGGGGTTCTGTTCATGGTCAGTCATGGCCGGATGAGCAGTGATACGGAGGTCTCACCCATCGGGAGTTGCAGGAAGTCATTTCCCAGGTTGCCTCGCTGCCGTTTGGTCATACGAGTGAGATCCGCAGTCGGCGTCCCGTCACTGTCGAGGTCTTCATCGTCCTCATCCTCCTCGTCCAGCTCATCGCCTCCATTCCCGGTCACCATCATACTCTCGTCCTGGTCATCAGGCTCGCCCTCAGCGTCAGTGTCTGGTTCCGACAACTCCTCGTCATCATCGTCATCGTCGTCTTCCAACTCCATCTCTTTCTCCTCGACACTCTTGACTGCTTTCGCACTAGGTGCAGCGGCAGCAGCTGCTGTTGCTTTCGCATGTCGCTTAGGCACTGGGGGTTGCGGTGGGGCATCATCCATGTCGAGATCCCCTTCAGCATCGAGATCTTCGTCCTCCTCTTCGTCCTCCTCGTCCTCGTCCTCATCTTCGTCATCCTCGTCCTCACCGGGGGCATCTTCATCGTCGACCTCATCCTCTTCCTGGTCTTCGAGATCATCCTCGTCGCTGGTGTCTACTTCGACCAGCTTCTTCCTGGGCCGGCTAGTGCGGGGGCCCGTGATGATGGGGTTCTCGGTGAAGACATTCACCGAGCGCCGAGTGGCAGGCGCCCCTCGGGAGCTTCCCCCGGTGACTTCTCTGAGCTTGTTGGAGGGCATCTTGACGGTCAGATGAATCGATCGCTTGGATGATTCCCCGGATACGTCTGATGGAACACACACCGCGGTCACTGCGGGGGTGGATGAAGCAGCAGTAGCAGCAGTAGTAGTAGCAGCAGCAGCAGCAGCGCGGGTGCTTCTTGTGGATCTGGAAGAGTCGTTAATATCTATCATGCTTGATTGATCATTGCGCCCCCCGTGGGAACGCAGTGAGCGACGGAGCGACATGGTGGGTTGAGAGGGAAAATTAGGAGAGACGATGAGTAATTGCGAGGTTCCGTAACGAGTGATTTATAGTCAAGGGTCCAGAGGGAATTTGCGCGGGCGGACAACAGCTGCGTCACTTGCACGTCGGATAGACAGAGGGAAAGTGAACAAGTAGTTGAAGGCAGAAAAGCGAAAAAGCAAACAAAGCCTTCTAGGGCCCATGCGAGGATGTGATGCGGGGAAATAAGGCTAATGAGAGGAGATACGGGGGTGATAGTGGTGAGGTGTGATGGGGATTGGGGAGATGGGAGATGGAAATTACAATCACGAAGGACGGACGAGTGAAACTGAGGGTGTTGGAGGTGTTGGAGGGAAGAGAAAGGCGGAGGGAGAAATGAAATGAGGGGAGTGAAGCGCAGTCCATCTATCAGAAGGAGAGGTCTTTCTGACTGCTGCTGCTGATGTATTGTTGGTTGGTACATCAGCAATTTCGTCGTCATCATCATCTGCTTCCTTCCTTTTTCCTCACTTTCGACTTTTGGTTCCTTCCTTCCATACCTCACATCTCCACCACATTCTCTGCCTTTCTTTCTCCCTTTCTCTCATCCTCTCTTTCATCGAAGAGAAGAGGGGCAGGGAAGCAATGAGGCGAAGAAGTGCGACGCGGCAAGGCACAGGCAGAGCATGGATAATCAACCCCAACCCCAATCAGATGGCGATCGAGCAGCCACTTGATTCATTTGATTCACGAGGCCTGGGAGCCAATGGGAGGATTCTCGGCCTCCTTGTCCTCAGACGGTGAACCCAAACGGCGCCGCAGTCCGTTGCTGTTGCGCAACCCCGGATCACCCAAGGAATGGTTTTGGTTTCCTGCTCCGGTGGGCGAGGGAGGCTTGATCCGGACTGGGGGTCTGGAGGAGGGGCAATGGCAGTCTATCCAAGGATTTCTCCTGGATGTCTCGATCACGCAGCAAGCCAGTGCAACTTAAACGAGAAGCAGAGACAGCCAAATGAATGGGATGGGGTGGGATGGGATGGGATGGGGTGAATGGGTGGAAATCAATGAGAGACAACAACAGACTCGAGCAATGCACTCACTCTCGGCTTCAAGGGTAGAACGAGGCGTCCCGTTCCAACCACAGTCACTTCAAACGGAGGGCTGATCAATAATGCGGCGGTCACGGCCGATCGTGCGAATCGAAGCAGTCGGTCTCAGCCCTGATCCTGATTCTGAACCCAACAATCTAAGTCATGTACTCCGTATCCATCCATTCATTCATCGATGATGGGCGAAGATCGAATAATCTTCGGTTGCCCCTTCACCGCCGCCACTTTGTGCCGGGCGGTCGGTATCCTTGGCGTTTGCGGCGGTATTTGCTTACATCCCTTCTTCTTCTTCTATACTTCATACTTCCATTGAGCTGGCTTATTGTGGTTCGGTGTGATGGGCAGGAGCAAGAGTATATCACAGTGTTTCAAGAGCTCACCTGGCTTAAATTGAAGTACTTGACATTCGTGGACATGAACAGGAGACTATTCAAGCGTAGGAGCTGATCAACCGAAACAGATCTCTCCAAAATATATCCACGCCCATCTCGGCATGCACTTGCTAAGCCCAAGACGTTTGACGCAAAAGAAATCATTCTTGCTACCTATCTATGTATAGTATGAACCCATGATGGTTGCTTCTTACTTTCTAACTGCATAATCATATTCATGGCCCCCAAAGTAACAATATTCAAGTCATGCTTAGCAGCAAACCCAGGCCGAATTCGGGCCAGGGCTGGTCTTATCACACTCGGTCGATACAGCCGAGGTTGACTGTCCATGTCCGCCTGCCGGACTCCGCACTTCCTCTTCCTCCTTCCATCTTCTCTCCACTCTACTCTCACCTTACAGCTTCCTTGCGTGACCACCATGGTAGACAAGCCAAAGTCCTCAATCCCAGAGTGGCAAAAGTCCAATGCCGGTTCGGAGCGTAGCAGCACTGGCACCACCGCCACCACCACCAACCCAAGCGCAGATGATAACGACACCGAAGAGCGCCCAGCGCTCCTCGACCAAGCCGCCAAGTTCCTCCAGGATGACTCCATTCGCGACGCCCCTGTCGAACGCAAGAGAACATTCCTCGAGTCCAAGGGCCTGCGCAACGACGAGATTGACCTGCTCCTAAGCCAGTCCTCAGAGGAGTCCAGCACCTCGGAGGAGCCGAGCAGTAACCCCGAGGTCGCCAACAACCACGAAGCTCCCAGCAGCAGCAGCAGCAGCAGCAGCAGCGCATCTACACCACACTCCTCCCCCTCCTCAACAGCAACAACAGCAACATCCACCTCACCCACCCCACCTCCACCCCGCGACGTCCCCCCAATAATCACCTACCCGGAATTCCTGACCACGCCCGCCACGCAACCGCCGCTCATTACCCTACGCAGCACGCTGTACACCCTCTACGGCGCCGCCGGCCTAGCAACCACCTTCTACGCCGCCAGCGAATACCTGGTGAAACCGATGATCGCCCAACTGACCGCGTCGCGCCGCGACCTGGCCGAAACCACCACCACCAACCTGCGCACCCTGAACACGAAACTCGAATCCGTCGTCTCCACCATCCCCCCGCCTCCCAGCAGCCCCAACGCCCCCGCAAACCCCGAAGGCGGCGCAGACGACCAAGACACGGAATCCATAACCTCCGACCCTACGGAACTCTTCCACCGCGACGTCGCCGTGCAGACCAGCCCGAGCCCGAGCCCCAATCCCCAACTCGAACTCACCCAACCCTCCCTGATCACAGCAACAACAAACGAAGACCCCACCCCCCTCGCAAAGGCCCGCACCCACACGGCCAGAATGCACACCCTGACGGCCCACCTCCGCTCCCTGACGGACACCGACCATGCCGCCTCGGAGCTCGACACCGCCCTCCGCGCCAAGCTGAACGACCTCCACCATTACCTGGATACCTATATCTACAGTAAACCCGGGGCGGGGGCCATGTTCAACCCCATGGCCGGGTATGGGGTGCTCAGTACCCCCGGGCTGGATGCCACGAATACATCCGGGACTAACGGGAACGGGGGGTTGGGGTTGGGGAAAGGGGAGGAGGATGCCATCGCCAATTTCCGGACGGAGATCCGCGGCGTCAAGGGGGCTTTGTTGAGTGCCAGGAACTTTCCGGCGGGTGGGGGCGGTAGTAGAGGGGCCGGGGCTGCTGGGCGGGCGCTGGGAGGGGGGTCAGCGGGGGTTCCGGGGAGGATTGGGCGGCCTGGGTCGGAGTAGGGTTTGGGTTTTGTTTCAGGGGTTCAGTGGATACTGAAGGGGGAGGTTTCCTACCTGGTCGATGAGGTTAGAGCAGAAGTTGTACATAGAGAGTTTGATTGATGCCGTTGCGGTTATGTGTTTGTGGATATCACAACAGGTATCATACAATGCCAGCAACTCATCGCCTACACCACTACGCCACTACTTCAAGTGAATATAAAACAAGACATCTACCCTCTTTTACTTCTACTTAGGCCAGATCAACATAATATCAACATTAACAGCGGAATAATAAAGAAAGCGACCCCATTGCCAGCCAAACCCTGCGTCGGCCGGCTCCAGAGGTCAAAAGTCCAGTACAGTCAAACAATTATAGAAAACTCTTGCCTTGTACATACAACTCATGATCGTCACATACACAACCTTCACGGCGTGGCTTTGCTCATGCTGATCAAACGCTTCACTCCAACCTAATGTCTCGATTAGCTTAGTGCAAAGAAGCTTGGTTACCAAGAAGACTTACCATCCAGTTACCGCACTCGTCCGTCCGGTTGGTCATGATGTTCACGTGGATTGCGCGCGCCGTCTCATAATCACGCGCCTGGATGGCGTGAGCAAGCTGCGCCATGTCCGCAACCGTGTTAGGCTTCAGCAGATCCTCATTGTTGAGATGGTCGAACAAAAGGTTCAGTCGCCGTTCCGCATCGTCGACCTGCGCCTTGAACGAAGATGGGGCCCGCGACTTCACTCGCTGCATGTCGGCCGACAGGATCTCGTACACGGGCATGGCATCGGCAGGGATGTGGGAGCGATCACCGGGGGCTGAGACCCATTAGTATTTCGTCCAACCTGAAAGAAACATGATCTACTTACGGTACTTGGGCGCCGCCGGGGCAGGCTTCTTCTGCGAAGAGGCCGTGCTGGGTCGGGATCCCGCGGCCTGGGGTGGGGGAGGCGCATGCTGCTGCATGGGTGGGGCAATGGGCGAAGGCGTGCTTGGGGCGTACTGGTTCGCTAATGATTGCATGGCGGACTGAGGGGCATACGGCGAGGCGGCGGCCTGCGGAGGGGGAGGAACGGGCGCCCGCGTCTGGAGCTGGGGGCTGGCGGCTTGAGCAGCCGGGCTCGGTGCGTATCGGTTTGTGGGGGGCGGCATCGTAGGAGGTGCATTGTAAGGCGAAGGTCCCCGAGGGATTGAAGCGGGCACGCCTATGGCCGAGGGGGGAGACTGAGGCAGGGAGGCATAGGGGTTGGCCGCAGGAGGAGGCATCGAGGAAGGCGTGGGAACGGCCGAGGGCGGCGACATCACCCTAGGAGGAGGGGCGCCGCCCTTGGGCGGAGGAGGAACGGAGGGGGTCCGGCCGACAGGTGCTCCAACCGGGGGAGGAGGGCCTTGCGCGAGGGTAGGAGACTGGTTCGAGTACGGAGCGTTGATAGGCGCAGAAGCAGTGGCAGGAGTCGACCGACGGGGCGTAGGTGCTTTAGCGAATCCCTCGGGCAAGTCATTCCACGCAGGCAGGTTGGTGGCCGTGGTGTACGTGGTAATGGTGTTGGCCGGAGACTGGTTGGTCGCGCGTGGAGGCGGGGGCACAGTGCCGCCTAGAGGCTGAGCACCATAGGTAGGGGCTTGTGGCGGTTGATATCCGGCGGGAGTGTAGCCGCTGCCGGCGTTGGAGGGAGCGTACGGATTCGTAGGCTGGACCGGTGCCGTCGGAGGAGCATAAGGGTTGACAGGAGCAGCAGTCGGGGGAGCATATGGGTTGGCGGCCGCAGCAGTCGGGGGGGCGTACGGATTCGAGGGAGCAGCGGCGGGAGCAGCAGGAGCATAAGGGCTGGGAACTGCAGCAGGCGCCGCAGGCGAAAAGGTTCTCGTGGGCTGGTATCCACCCAAAGCAGGCTGAGGAAGAGGCTTGTTGAGATTGGGCCTGGCTGCTGCGCTGGTCGCAGTCTGCGTCCGTTGAGGAGCGGCTTGTCTCGTTGCCAGGCGGATGCGGTTTCTGGCAATCTCGGCCTCAGGGTGCTTCTCGGGCACAAGATCGAGATACTTCTGTGCAACCTGTAGTCGTCCATGGGTAGCAACAACGTCGGCGTACTCGATATACTTGTCGTACAGCGTGCTGAGCTTCCAATCCGACTCCTTGGTACGCTCGGTGTCCTCGAACTTGGTGACCTGGCGGAAAATCGTCACCTTCTCAATCAGGCTCTGCAGAGCACGGACGTGGATCGAGAAAGCAGAATCATCGGCAGAGGCCTCGATGGCCTTCTGCTCACGCTCCCGCAGCTCCTCAATCCAGATAGCAACAACCTTCTCCAACTTGGAACCGGCCAAGAAACAGAACGAGGCATCCTTGCGAAGGGCCTTGTCATCCGAGTTACGGAGCTCCTCCTCCAAGCGATCACCCAGAGCATCGCAGAGATCCGCGAACTCCTTCTCGTCGGCAAAAGTGCAAAGAGCTGCCATAACCTCCTTCCAATTGGACAAATCGGCGTTGTAGACAACATCCCAGAGATTCTTGCCCACAATAGATGCGAGCAAACGCACGTAGTTCGGGCTGTTGGTCTGCTTGGAGAAGTAGTGCTCCTGGGCCTTCTCAATGCATTTCTGACCTCCGCAGATGGCAATCATGAACGCGTCCGAGAGACGATCCTCCTTGAGTGCGACATCAAGGGCCTTCTCGAAGTCACCAAGGAGCAACGCTCTGGTAATGCCAGTGTCCGCTTCGGTCTCCTCTCCGTTGAAGATGTGGAAGGGGTTGTTGGTCTTGGCGCCCTTGGAAGCAGCCAGGTCAGACAGAAAGTTATCCGCGTCCGCGCTTGTGTCGAAGACGGATTGCAGACGGCGGTGCTTCTTGGCTCCCGACCCGCGGGATTCCTTGGGCTCCTCGCCGTTGACTTCCTCGTCGTCCTCCTTGTTCAGACCCAGCTTGGCTAAGCTATCAGCAGCCTCGTCAGCCTGATCCGCGAATCCGAGATACTCAACCAGACCCTTGCGAGGATCGGCCGAGATCAAGGCCTCGATAACCTTCCAGTCGGCCTTCTCCTCTTCACTGGTGGCGTTGGCAGCCCGAGTTTCGCAGATGTTGCGCAAATCACCCTCCTTGAGCGCGTTCTCAAAGGTCTCGGTCGACTTTCCAACCGCCTCATCAACCTCGAACGGGGTGATCTTGATTTTCGATGCACGCTGACCCTTCTCAACCAAGTTGACAGAGACGACTCTGCCTCCAAATCCAAAGGTTGCGCCACACGGCCGTTCCAGCCACTTGGGGGCCTTGGGCAGCGAGAAGCTGGAGACCTGGGGCTGAGTCTGGGCCTTGGCGAAGAAGTCCTCGCCATCGAGGGCCTGGTTCTGGTCGGCAATCGCCTGGGCAGTTTCGGTGCTGGTGTTCTGGATGGTCTGGATGGCGATCTTTCCGTCGAACGAAGCGGTGGCGAAGAAGTTCGGGTTGTGAGGGTTCCAGCGCGTCTGGAAAGTCCAGTTTGTGACTACGGGGAACTCTCCGTAGGCGTGACTGGTCTGGGGGTTCCAGCAGAGGGTGCGGTTATCTTTGCCGGACGAGAGGAGCAGATCAGGATCCTGGGCGCACCAGGAGAGCGACAAGACGCCAGATTCGTGGCCCCGGAGGGTTCTTTCCGGGGCGTGAGAGTTACGCAGATCCCAGACACAGATCAAGGGGTCCGACTCGAGCGGCGTGGCCGTGACAAGTTTCGTCGGCTGGTAGTGGTCAGCAAAGCAAACCCGCAGGCAGCCGCGGTAAGAAACTCACCTTCTCCGGGTCCCAGGCCACAGCACTGACGGCTTTCCGGCCCATGTTGTTCAGCGTCAAGCTCTCCTTCTTGGTCTTGACATCCCACACGGTGACGAAGCCGGCACTGCTGCCGGTGACCAGGATATGCGCGACCTTTTTGTTCCAATCCAAGCACTCGATGTCATCTGCGCGGGCGGCCGTGCCTCCGAGTCTAGAGGGGTTCGCAATGTCGTTCAGGTCGGAAATGTACAGCTAGTGGTGATCATGAGCTCCAACATCCATTGTTCAGACATGTTTAAGGGGGCATTATACCTCGCCCTTGGCACCACCGGTGGCCAGCAAGTTGGAGTGTTTGGGGTTGAACTGGAGAGCCTTGATAGCCCCTGAGTGTTTGTTGGTCCTCGAGATGACGGCATCACTGCCCGGGCGTCAGCCAATTGGACAAAACGACGACAACGCGATTGTAGGGATGACAGCACGAACCTGGATCCACTGAGCAACTTATCGGCATCCCACAGATCCAAAGATCCATTCTCCAAGGCACCCGCGATCACACCCCGGGAGCTGTCCTCGGAATCCGTCCATGCCAGGTCGTTGAAACTATTCGAGTAGTAGAGTTAGTGTTTGCCTATATTCCCAGAGCATTGGAAAGCTAGAAAGCGCACCCCGAGTCAGTGTCAATCTTCGCTATGGGCTGCAGCTCGCCGCTGGCCTCGTGGCGGCTCAGGTTGAGATCCCAGAGCTCCAGACACGTTTGATTGGAGAAGTCGACATCCACGGCGCCGGCGCGAGTACCCGTAGCAATCAATGGCGAAGCAGCTCCAGGAGACCAGGCAAAGGTGGCCGTCCGGGGAATTTCCCTCAGACGAACCATGGTAAAGGTGGAAAGGAGTGGCAGAGAAAGATGGAGGTATAGATTAGAAGGCGACGGAGCTGGCTATTGCGGGGGGGGGATTGTTGTTCTGGCCAGCAAATGAATGAATTGGATGCGGGGGGGGGGAAGAACTGAAAGAGAAACGGTGGGGGTAGTGAGAATCCGAGTACCCAAGGTCGTGTAGATAGGAGTAAGAGAAAGAAAAAACTGAAATGGAAGAAAACCTCCCCTCTCTGACACAAGACACAAGAAGACAGGAGAAACCGAGGGGTGCAGGTTGCAGGTGAGAGTTGCCAAGTCGACTGGCGATTCGAGGCGTGACGGCAATCAACCAAGTGTCCTCCTCGGGGGGGCCGCTGCGACCGACCGACCGACCCGCTTAACCACTTTGGACACTGCCCGACATACCACGTGATTGATATCAGCCTCTCGCTCTGTCTCTGCCTCTCCGCGAAAGTCTGCGCCCACTCCGAAGATCGACCGGGCAAGGAAGCTTGACAACCAAGCTTGAACATCATTCTATCAGCTGGGCCCGTGCCCCCTAGAGCTCCCGTTTCAAGCAATCCGTGGTCTATCAAGCGAGTACGGCTATTCACATTCAAAATTACCATCCTAACCGCCCCGCAAAGCCTCAACCATGAGTGAAAAGGCTCGTTTGAAGTGTACCATCTATGTGGGGGGTCTGGACCAGGCTGTGACGATGCACACGCTGGCGGAGGCATTTGTCCCCTTTGGCGAGGTCGTGGACATCACCCTGCCGAAACCCGACCTGCCAAACTCGAACGAATCCCACCGCGGCTTTGGATATGTGGAGTTCGACCTGCCCGAGGATGCGAAAGAGGCTATCGACAACATGGATGGCAGCGAGCTTTACGGACGTACAATCAAGGTCGCCGCCGCGAAACCGCAAAGGGAAAGCAATGAGGGGCTGGGCAGCAAGACAGCTATCTGGGAACAGGTACGCGGCCAATTGGGTATCACATTCCACGAATCTACGAGCTAATCGCGTTCCACTACAGGAGGGCTACTTGGCCAAATACGCAGTCAGCGAGGAAGATAGATTGGCCACAGAGCAGGCTCAAGCAGGCGCTAACGCAGAGACTGAAGACCCCATGCAAGGACTGGTAGAGATGGACGTTGCCGGCCCAAAGCCTGAATGAAATGCCCGGGACATCTCCTACACGCCACGCGGAGTGCATTGGCAGGGACACTACAGAAAAAAGGCCAGCCGTAAAATGGCACGAGCACTGCATCAGAAACCCTTCGATTTAAAGCCGTACTATATACACGCGCTGCAACCCTGAGCTTGAGATATGCCGAGCTTTTTTTTCGTCGGCATCCGCCGCGACACCATGCAATCTCCCTCTACCTCCCGTGGATAGTACAGATCGCCCTCAAAACAAAACAAGGAATCGCCCATTGCAATTTGGAATCAAAGTGTGATGGTACATTCTCTAGTGCTCACGGGACTCGGGGCTGTTGCGGTACAGACGGAGGGTCTTGTCGGTCATGAGCTTCTTGGAGCTGGAGTAGATGGCAGCACCGACAGCGACGCTGCGAGGAGAAGCGTTAGCGATGGCAAGTTCTGTGAGGGGGGCAAGGGAGTTGGTGAGGAAGGTTCAGAAGAAGGAAATAGATCATGTTCGACCCGTGTGATGTAACAAGTCAATTGAACCAGGAACTAAGCACATACCCCAAGACAACACCTGTAAAGTGACAGACACGATGATTAGCCTATCTGTAGACACTTTTGAATCATGTTGGCGCACTCGAAATACATACCAAGAGGGATCAACTCCGGGGGGATGCGCTTGAGGGTGCGCAGACGCTGGGAGATGGTGTGGGCTAGAGCTCTGTGTTAGTCCAATTCCGACTTCCAGAAATACACCGTTGCAAGCTTCTAGTCGGCAAGGGCGCATTGAGGGAAAGCTTCATACCGCTGTGGTTTTCCTTCTGCAACGTTCGTTAGCCATCATGCAACTGCCAAGCCCAATTTTTCCCGGCTCATATTCACGAGGGAGGGGAAAGGAAGGGAGAGAAGAAACCCACAGGAGCAGGAAAAGCGAAAGGCCGGGTGGCCTGCATGCGCATGATAGTGGTAGGATACATGGCGATTGTTTGTGGGGGGTGAAAGACCTGGCTGGAGGTGGGTTGGATGGGGAGATGGGGGAGAGGAGATGGGATGGGAGGCTTCGGATGTGGTGACGGAAGTTGAGCTCATTCGGGCCTTGTGGCTTGGCTGTGGAATTGGATCACGAGTTCAGGTTTCCAACTGCGAGCCTGGATGACTCAGGCAGCAACTTGTTCAAACCACCTCAAGATGACGGATCGGGGTGTTTAGGAAAGGTAGGCGCATGAGTGGCTCGCTACAGTAGGCGGTCAAGGTTGAACTTGGGGCCCGGCTGTACTGCTTCACGGGATCATTCCACTCCACCAGCGCGCAAACCTCACCCCCATCTTTCTTTCTCCAAGCCCTCTCTCTCTTGCTTCCCTCCTCCTCCCCTCCCCCCCTCTTCACCACCCACCCCTTTTCCTCTTCCCCAATTTTAGATCCATTTCCAGGCTCTGTCCTTAGAACCGTCACAATGGGTGCCATTCCTGAAGCCGATCCCGATGAGCCCCAGGAGACCAAGCCCTTCAAGTTCGTGACAGGTGAGCTCTCCCAAACCCGGATAATCCGACTTGTCTCCCGCATCCCCAATTGAGGTCAATTGCTAACTAGTATACAGCCGGTACGTTTTTCTCCAGGTTCTTCGTTGATCCGGTCGCTTATCGATGAACGAATACGGCGGGTTCTTCATCATTCGTGGTGGGAAAGCTGACTGACCAACGTCTTGATGTAACGATATACAGGCTATGACGCTCGCTTCCCCCAGCAGAACCAGTACGTGATAAGCCAATTCCCATAGACTGTCCTCCACCTTTCGTCAAGCTTCGTACTAATGCAATTGAATAGGACCAAGCACTGCTGGCAGAACTACGTCGACTACTACAAGTGTGTCAACGCCAAGGGCGAGGACTTCCGCCCATGCCGTCAGGTATATCAACCCCGTCGACATCCCCCTCGGCTACCAAACCCGCAACTGTCTACCAGCACCACCAGCACCACCATCACAGCGAACCTATCACAACCACCGCACTAACAATTTTGACTACCAGTTCTACCACGCTTTCCGCTCCCTCTGCCCCAAGGCCTGGACTGACCGGTGGGATACCCAGCGCGGTACGTACTCATCCCCCCTCTCTGCACCTTTAATCTTCAACAGCAAGTAACTAACCCCCCGACCAGAGGCTGGAAACTTCCCCGCTCGCCTGGAGTAGAATGCTAGAAAGCTAAACAAATCCATGTTAAAGTTCTTTATGTGCTTTTGTTTTATTTTGGTCAAACAAATGTACTCTACTACCCTGATTCGGAGCCCAACCCCTCCCGAATTGAACAAACCAAGCGGGAAATGTTTTTTTTTCTTTTTCTTCCTTGCCTTTTCGTGGATCCAGAGCCTTTCACTTTCCTCGCATCTTCTCTAGGATAAATCAGAGGGGAAAGCTGTACGGACATAGAAAGGACGCGTAGTGTGCAAACCCGAGAGAATGTGAACGAGTTCCGCACCTGTATATGGATCTAATCAATCAGCACATGTGCCTCGAGTATCTGTCGATAGAAGTAGCATGATCAAAATGACGATCTCACCCACGGGACTCCGTACCCAGTCGCCCGTGGCCGATATCAGATCCGGCGGACATCATACGATCCGATCTCCCCTCCAGCCTCGCGAGTCAATCGCTTCTGTACATTACATCTTATACTCCAATAGAGTGCTTTGTCACATGCTCTTCAAAATGTTCTCACCTAGAGATTTCCTCCCTAGTGAAACGACATCCTGCAACAGGAATTGACCCCGAGCACCTACTGGAGTTCCTTAGCTTTCCGGGCTAGTAAGCTTCAATGCCTCATGTTATTCCAGCAACAGTCGAGGCTGAATACAAAGCTATCTCCATGAATGCATACCTGTTAAGTTCTGCACCCCCAAAATTAACTGCAATCCACAAATTGCAATCTGAAGTCTCTATGTGTCTATTGTAGATTTCATGTCTAGTCTATCTGTTCTCAAATGACGAATGTCACACTCTCACTCACTCACTCACACAATCCAAACAAGCAGTAAACAGAACCCCTTCTCCCTCCCGCATGTTTCTGGTCTCATCTCCATCTGATCAGGGGGTGGAAGTAAGGAAGCGATAGATGTGAAGGGAGAGTTACTCAGAGCCACCCCACCGAGGAAGGTGTTGTCTCACTCCACTCGGCCATCTGCAAGCACAAGTCCAGCACCAAAGAAAGAGAGAGAGAGAGAAAACGATATTATGTACAAGCGATATGCCCGCAGGAGAAATGAACACAATAATTAAAAACTTTTAGCCACCCAAAAAAATCACAATGCTTCGCCAAAACCCCAACATTGAACAAGATGAAGAAGGATACTATGCTAGAAAGATATCCTAGCAGAGAATGTATCGTGGATATCAAAGCGGTGTATAGACAGTTCCCAGACATAACAGGGAAAAAGAGAAGACGACAACCGACAAAAAAAGAGAGGAAGCGGAATTCACCGCTTCTCCTCGGATTCGATCCCCTTCACCCACCGGTAGAGCTTCTTGTGCTCCTCCAGGAAGATGAAGGTGGCGATCGTGTGCGGACCCAGCCGGATGAAGCTGGGCACCCAGCCGCGGAAGGCCCAGGCGTAGCCTTCCTTGCGGGTGATCTCGCGCAGCAGGGCGGGGATGCTCTGGCCGTGGCCGTGGCTGGCGGTCATGACGCGGGTCTTGATCACGTCGACGGGGCTGCAGACGGTGGTGGCGACGAAGCCGGCCATGAACGAGGCGGCGAAGTGCGTACCCAGGTTGTCCGACATGCCGATGCGCTCGATGCACAGCTTCTTGAAGGTGTCGTACGAGGCCAGCTGCGAGGCGGTCATCAGCACCGCGCGCGTCGAGTTCGGCCACACCCCGCGGAACAGGCTGGCGGCGCCCTCGGTGCGCGTCATCTCCACCAGCCCATGGAAGGCGTGGCGGTAGTTGCGGCGTTGCGCCGGCGGCAGCGCCGCGTCCGACTGCATGCGCACGTTCAGCACGTCCGCCGGGTTGCCGGTCCAGCCGCCGATGAAGCCCGAGGCGCACGCGATCCCGATCAGCGTGAAGAAACTGGGCGTCGACCCGGGCGTTGTGAAATAGTTCTTGAGTTCCTCGTAGATGCCGAACCGCGTCGTCGAGTAGGTCACCTGGCGCAGAAGCGCGGCCGATAGCTATAACGCCGCCCCCCCGGAAATCAGCCAATTTGTCCTCGACAACCCTTCTTCCAGGCTACCCTAAGCCATGGCCAGAGAAAAAGAAAAACGTACCCCGCTATACAAGCCCCGAACACCATCGGTCTTAATCACATGTCGAAACGTTCCCACCATGGAGGTGGGCGCCCCAGGCCCGCGAGTTTGCAATCGAACCTAACAAAGTTTCCAAAAGTTTTTGTTAGTACACCGGGAATACCTCAATCGAGTGTTGGCGAAAACACAGCCCGAAACCGCAGACATAACACATAAGCCAGGCGAAAGTGAAAAATAGTAATGGAGGGCAAATTTTACCTTGACTATAAGTCACCACCAAAAAAAAAGTCAGTCACCCAGCGTCATCATTCATAGAATTCAACCCCGCCACCAGAGCGCCAAATGAAAAAAACTTACCAAGGTCCAAAGGGTGTGTGACGGCCGCCGCAAAGCAGGAGGCCGAACCACCAAACCAAAAAGGATAATGGATCTTCTTTGCAGGCACCGGAGCGGCAGCCGCTTGAGGAGGCTGTTGGGGGGAAGCCTCCAGCTTCGCACTGCTGACCATCGTGGACATTCCGCGAGGGCGATATGAAAGAAAAGAAAAGAAAAAGAGAGGGGAGATTTTGGGAGAGTAGTCAGTCAAAGGAAGGAGGAAGGAGAAACTGGCGAAACTGGAGAGAGGTTCTCCTGCTTCTTCCTCTTCTTAATAATAATACCAGGAGTAATCCGGTACAGAGACAATACGAGAAGAGATTCGGGCTTCAGATCAACTCTCCGAATTCCAGGGTTGTTCGGCTGCACTAACCGATCTCGGCCGTGGCACACCAATCATGTTCTCGGTTTAGACGTCGGACCAGCGGGCCACTAGGCGGTAAGGCCGGCCCTCGGTGTTCTCTCGCCCGTTGCAGTACAACAATACAGAGTACAGAGTACTATGGAGCACAGAAGAGGAGATGATGGGATGGAATGACAGGATATCACCGAGAAAGACGGAGGCTGAACACATTGCCCAGACTGTTCATGTTGTATGTTGTAAGAAACACAAAGGCAAACCGAGCCAGCAACCAATTCCCTCACGAATGCAGCCGTCCCCTTCCATGTCTCTACCCGGCTGTGCTGTACTGCGCCGTACTGTGCTGCAATCGATCTGCTACGTCACAATGCATGCCTCCCCTGCAGGCAGTCCGATCCAACCACTAAGCAGCAGCAAAACACCAAACAAATGTAGTTGGGTACTATCATGGGATCCTTAGCCGGGAACTAGAAGTCTGTTCATGAGGAAAGAGGTCACATCTTTTGTTGTTTTACAAGCCAAGATCTTACATACACACTATCATACATACACGCATCTGTTGCCTTGCCGTCATCAGGCATCCAACCTATACACATCACGGAGAAAACACCCCCTATCCTGGTAAATCGAACGACGACTACCGGAGGTCAACCCCCAGCTGACCAACGAGCTCTTGGCGCAATTTTTCGTGTAGATCATTGGTCTCTGCGTTGGTAAGCGTGCGCTCCAGACTCCGGTAGTTGATGCGGTAGCACATGCTCTTGCGCTTGGTCTTGGGGTGCGTGAACTCGTCCACCAAACGCACATCCTCCACCAGATCGCCCGCAACCCCGCGAACCAGCTCCATGATATCATTCTCGTGCACGGGCATGGCGCCGCCCGCCGCACTGCCGCCACTAGCCGCCCCCGGGGGCAACCAGAAGGCCACATCCTTGTAGCAGGCGGGGTACTTGGAGAAGGGCTTGAAGCGGGTAATCTGCCCGGCCTTGAACTGCGACAAGAAGCGCTTGTCCCGCGACCAGAAGAGCCGGATGTCAGGGATATTGAACAGGAGCATGGCGATGCGCTCCAGGCCGATCCCGAACGCCCATCCCATGCGGTCCGGGACGTCCGAATTGTTCAGCAGCTCCTGCTTGATGACCCCGCAGCCCAGCACCTCCAGCCAGTCCCCCTGCCAGAACACCTCCAGCTCCCAGGAGGGGCTCGTGAAGGGGAAGTAGGCCTCGACCCAGCGGACCTTCAGGGGCTCGGTTTCCTCCTCCGCGCCCGCCGCGGCCTTGCTCGCCTCCGTGAAGATCTTGATGACCATGCGCTCCAGCGACCGCTTGAGGTGCGCGGCGACCTGCTCGACCTCCTCGACACTGTGGAACTCGGCCTGCAGCGGGTTGCGCTGCGGGTGCACGGTGGGGTTGGGGTCCTCGACGACGACGTCGTGGGCCGGGATGCGCTCGACGTCCGCGCGGATCCGCGCCGCCGTCGCGCCGGCATGCCGCAGCGGCTCCTGCTCGGGCCGCTTCCACAGCATCGCCCCCTCCATCTGGTGGAAGACCGGGTAGTGGCTGCGGTCGATGGCATCCCTCCGGTACACGTCCGCGACCACGGTGTAGCCCACCTCCTCCGGGCGGGTGCGCTCGTTGCGGCTTATCTGCTGGAAGTACGCCTGCTGGTGGGCGCTCGTGTGCGTGCGGAGCACCAGCTTCTCGCTGAGGTAGTAGGTGTCGGTGCGGCTGCGGCCCGGGTGGTCCGCGGGGAACCCCAGCACATCGAAGTTGTCGGCCGTCGTCACGACGGGGTTCTCCTCGGTGTAGTTGCCGTACGTCGGCCGCGGGAACTGGCTCTCGATCAGCTGCCGCGTGATGGCCAGCGGGTGGTTCTCGTCCAGGTATAGCCGGCGGCCGACGTGCGAGAGGATGGTATCGGTGACGTTGGTCCATTCGTCGCGCTCGTACGATTGCGCCTCGGCTGCCACGGGCTGCGCTGCAGAGCCACCGGCGATGGAGCCCTTAGTGACATCGGTGGGTTTCTCGTTCGTCCGGCGAACGGCCGTGAAGCTCCATTCGCGGCGCGGGATGGTTGACGGCGCCGGGAGGTGCGAGAGCGGGATCCGTAGGCTCCTCCCAGAAAAATAATTGATGGCCCACCTGCTGCTGCTGGCGCGCAGAGCCCGGCCAGTGGCGAGTAAGCGCATCTCTAGAGTAGATGCAACGGGACTGCACCGGAAACTGAACCAGTGTGTCGTTGTCGCCGGTTTAGTGTTTCTCTCGCTGCGTTTTAGATCGTAGTCTACAAAACATGCCGGGGCGGGAGAACCACGGCCCGAGCGGATTCCCCCAAAATCATCCGGTTGTTCTACGTTGTGCAGGTTGATGATCGGGGTTCAGTGAAACTCAATTGACTGATTACCATCATAGCTCAATTCGATTTATTGCAAACCATGGGATGAAAAGCAGTCTGAGCATAAAATAAGAAGCGGTCGTTTCTGCAATACAACCCAGCCGTGCCAGGTCTTCTACAATGATATTATCAGCTACGCATTTCCGAAGAATCAACATGCCTGTCATAACGTCTTTGGTCTATTCGGCCAAGAGACTGTCTATTAGACTTCATAAGTACCCTGCATTGCCTTGACGGCAAGAGGGCGATGCAAAAAGTCATAACATGATCAGATGCCCTGCAGGCATAACCCACACCCGTTTCAATGCCAGTCCCAGCGTGATAAGATCACTTTTCCAGAACAAAGAAGAAACAAAGACACCGACCATTGCGTGTAATATACATAATAGGGAGGAGAGAGTCGAGAAAGAACGCCAATCCAAAAGAAATCAGATCATTGACAAATGCACCGGGAGAAAGCTCATGCGACACCAGTCGCAAAGTAAACGGTGTATCATACACATGCGTTCGTAGATAGAAAGAAAGCGACAATCGCCGGATCATGTTTTTCCGGCGGCATGCTCGGTTGGATAAACCATCGCATCAGATTTAGGGTGAAACATCCCATCGCGGCGGAAAGAGATGTGGTATATCGTACAGATTGAATGGGGGAGGGGGTGGTTGGAAATTGCGATGGTATTCGGAGGATCATGGGTAGGTTTAGTTGTTCTTGACAACACCGACCTTAGCAGCCTGTAGAAGAAAATACATTAGCATCCCTGTTTGAGATAAATCCTTGCTGGAGATCACATACTCTAAGGACACGGCCATTCAGACGGAAACCCTTGCTCTGAACAAACATGATCTCGCCGTCCTCCCTGCCCTCGGCCTTGGTCATGAAGACGGCCTCGTGGACGTTGGGGTCGAACTTCTGGGCCGCCCCGTCCTCAGCGGGAGCGCTGGGGTCGAACTGCTCGAGACCGTGCTTCTTCAAGGTGCCCATCAAGACGTTCTGAGTCATCTTCAAGCCTGAAACAAGGTCCAACAGGTCCTTGTTGGCCTCGGTGGGGGCGGCCTCAAGCTTCTCCTTGGGGACAGCCAGCATAGCACGGTCGAAGTTATCGATACTCTCGAGAAGGTCCTGAGCGAAGCGCTGGATGGCGAAGTTGCGAGAGTTGTCCATGTCCCGCTTGGTGCGCTCCTGGAGGTTGATGAAGTCGGCCTTGGAACGAAGGTATTGGTCCTGTGAGGTATTAGACCAGGTGTTCTCGGCATGTCAAAGCTCTTCGGTGTAACGAGATACCCATTGTAACTCATGATATCCGCCCGACAGCATAGGTGGCAATTACCTTCAGACCAACAATCTCCTTCTTCTTCTCCTCAAGCTCTTTGCGGCAAGCATCCTCGCCCTCCTGCGACTCCGCGGCACCGTTCTGCTCGCCGTTCTCGGCCTTGTTCTCCGTCGAATAGAGGCGGGCGGCAGACTGGGGGATCAAGGGACGAGCGAACTGAGGAAGCTGGGGCTGTTGCGCGGTGCGGCGGACAGCTGAGGTAGCTGGTGTCGAGCGGACGGAAAGCAGGGACCGCTGGGCCTGTCTGAGGAAGGTTCTTTGGAACATGTTGAGCAAAGGGATATGACAAATGGATGCTTCGGTGGATGGAAAGAATGGAAGCTGGAGCTCAAGCAAAATTGAGGTGGTTAAGTATGAACGAGATCGGCGATAGCGATCGAAAAAGCAGAAGTTTCGCCCGTGCCGGCGTCACCTGACTGTCTTGAGCAGCGATATCCGGATCAACATGCGGGCCGACAATCGGCTCCCATCGGTTAGTTGGTGATCGATCTATAGGAGGGCGCGGAGGGCGCAGAGGTATTCACCACTCACTACCCGTGACGCTACTTGCTACTACTACCTACTAGTTAGTGAATCTCCTACCTAGCTGGAGGCCATTCGATTACTTTCGCTGGCGCAGTACATAATTATATTGTCATACTTTTCCGATGCGTCCAATCGTCGTGACTCGGAAAAAGAGACCTCCAGTGACGTAAGGTTTTGGCTTGAAGCATAATTGAATTCGTCGAGGCACTCTGCTTCGATCGAATGCCTGCCGAGTGTTGCCCGTGGCCACGATGATGCATATGACAATCACTACCTTGTTTTAACGGCAAGCAAGCTATCAGTTGACCGAGGATTGCCTGAGTCAATTTAGTTCGAATGGTTTAGACGCAGAGACAAGTGGGCGGCGTGAAACTTCGATTCCTCAAAAGAGCTGGGTGCTGCTTGTTATTTGCCCCCTCCTCCCCGCCAGCAGCGAGTTATTCCTGACCCGGTGGTACAGTCCCCCGGTATATAGTTCCGGGTCGAACCCAACCAAGTAGCTGTCAAAAGGTTCGTCTTTCATTTTTCCGTGACTGCAATTGTCGTTCCCATCTCAAGCGTTCCTCCACAATGCCCTTAGAACTGGACCTCGCATTTGCCGAGGCTGCGGACCCTCTCCTGCAGATATTGGCCGCCAGCCCAAAGCACGAATTGCATGATATCCACGCTCGTCGGATAGGTATCACCGCCCTGTATGATTCCGTGTTCGCGGTATTGCCCTATGCTCGGGGTGTAGAACGGACGGTTCATCAAGTCCGGTCCCATGACGGATGGACCATCTTCGTCAAACGCTACTATAAGAAGAACAATTCGTCTCCTGCGTCTTCTGGACGTGGCCCAGCAATCTTCCACGTGCATGGAGGGGGTATGATTCAGGGCACGGTTGATCTCTTCGACAAGGCGCTCGCCCTGCAAGTCGAAAAGAGCAACATTCCGATCTTCTCGGTAGATTATCGGCTGGCACCCGAGTGTCCGCATCCAACACCACTTGAGGACTGCTATGCTGGGTTAGCGTGGCTCCATCGGCAGGGAGCCCAATTCAGGGTAGACAACAGCCGCATTTGTCTCATGGGGGAGAGCGCCGGGGGAGGCCTTGTTGCGGGCATTGCCATGCTGGCTCGGGATCGGGGCTTATCCCCGCCTCTAGCGAAGCAGGCTCTCTTCTACCCTATGTTAGATGACAAGAATACTGTCCCGATTCCTGCGCTGGAGCCTTTCACCACGTGGACTTACGATGACAATCTCACTGGCTGGACTGCCCTGTTGGGACAAGATATCGGGACGGACAATGTCTCGCCATACGCTGCGCCTGCCCGAGCCACCAACCTGGAAGGCCTGCCGCCAACGTACATCGACGTAGGCGCGCTGGACATCTTTCGTGACGAAGCTATCGCCTTCGCGGCGAAGATCGCAGCTGCCAATATCGATTTGGAATTGCATGTGTACCCGAGCCTGCCTCATATTTTCGAGATCTATGCCCCAGACTGTGAACCCTCTCAGAGGGCCGTCGAAAATCGATTCAAGTTCATTACCAGCCTATAATTCGGCATACAGGGACTTTGGTGGCATGTTTTATGTTACTGAGAACCGAGTCGCTTGACCAGACCGATCAGAATCGATGGCGACGATGGCGTGTGTTGTGGGAATGATCAATTGAGCGATGTGGAACTGACTAGAATGGTGTTTGGCTTGGCTGTCGAGAGAGTGCGTCATTCGGAAGAGCGGAGTGGCTGAGGGCCAGATGCCATACAAGATGGTCAGAGCTTCCGGCTAAGCCATGAGGGTGTATGTACTGGATATCAGTCCAATACGGCTACTGTAGGCAGAACAAAATTGTACGTATGTGCTAGGACAAATGATTGAGGTCACTCGAGCGACTGATGTCAGTTGTAGAAGTAAGTGCACCCGAAGGTATAAGCCTTGTGCAGGCGACGCAGGTAGACGCATAGATTGCGAGGCACTGTCATCAGCCCCCATGTTGGTCATGGTCTCCAGTGTCACAAAGTGTAGATAAGGTTGGTTAGACTATAGTTCAGTACGGCCTAAAATGTAGAGACTCTGTTGATGGTGACATTAGGCGTGACTTGACTGGTGAGGCTTGGAATGCGGTAGCATGCATGCATGCATGAACAATCCCAAGAGCGGGAGACACTCTTTGTCACCACGGAGCCAAGCTCGAAATCTTGCCTGCCTGGAGGACTTGGACACTGCAGTGATAATATCGGCTGCTTGTGGAGTGGTCCCCGGGGGCGGAGCATCAGCCGCTGCGGATGGCAGGCTGCTTGCTGGTTCTGGAGTATGTGGAGAAGGCGACCATCCCGTGGAACGCTGTCTGTCCCGATTCAGTTGCATTGTGATATCTGTAAAGCAGAAAGTAGAGCTCAGATTGACAGCATGTGACAGTCAATTAGACTGCTCCGACTTATCGTACATGTTCTCTGCCCGATCTCCGGGGTTGGTTGCAGGATTCAGTCCAGGATTCACCTCCAGGATGATCTGCAGCAAGGAGAACACATATGCAACATCGTCATCACAGCAACTGATGCTCTGATGGGGGGAATCGAAGGTGGCAACCAGAAGCGGTGCAAGTCTCGTCTCCTCTTCAGCCACACGGGTTCGGCGAGACCGTGGCGAGGATTGAAAATGCATGCGGAGCCGATCGCCAGGAACAGATCCAGATCCAGAAGGGCGGTCCGAAAAGAGTTACTGTAGTTGTGCCCATGTCGTGTAAGTTAGACTAGACTAGAGTTAGAATAGGAGAGTCGCAATCGAAGCAGGCAGTGCAAGTTGCGAGGGGAGTTGCGGGCATCTCCACTCTCCGTTCTTTGCGTGTGTTGCTGCGCCTCGCCCGGCAAAGCGACGGAGGCGGACGAGGAACAACCCCAACAATTGGAACAATTACTGGGGACTCGCTATAAAAGAAGCGTTCAGCACGCATGCAGACAGACTCTTCATCCTGACTGGCACAACCACTGGAAAATTCTCTGAAGCAGTCTCCAATCAGAGTTGAACGAGGGAACAAGGTTGCTTACGAGTTACTGTACTCTTTTCTTTGCTCGTTTCCACTAAGCGCCTGCTGCTCTTCTTATCTCTCCGAGTGGCAATCAACCCGTCTCCGAGGTCTCGTCTCTATATCAACCACCTCTCCTCCTCTCAATTAACCCATTCAACCACAATCACCACCACCACCACAACCACAACCACAAAAACCATCAAAACCACATTCCAAAATGAACTACACCACTCCACCCCAATCCCTAACCTCATCCCCATCACCATCATCAACGACAACAACAAAACCAACCACCCGACCAACGCTCTCCCTCGACCTCAGCAACCTCCCCGCCCTAAGCCAACCAACAACCCCCACCAACACCCTGATCATCACCGACCTGAACGACCTGCACCTCTTCGACCCCCCGTCCCTAACCGCCCTGCGCAACACCCTGAACCACCTCGCCCCGCTCAACTCCTTCTCCCCGCTGCCCTCCCTCCGCCGCCTCCTCTGCTCCTTCCACACCGACAGCGACGCCCTGTACATCCGCAAACTGCTCTCGTCGGCCTCACCCACCGAGAACCCCCTGAAAGCCCACACCGCCACCCACTCGACCAAGACCCTCCTCAACCCGAAGGTCTACTTCGGCGAGCCCACCCCGCTGCAAACGGGCCACGACGCCCGCCCCAAACTCCTCGCCGCCCCGCAGGTCGACAAGCTCTTCTTCATCAGCCCGCCGCCCTCCCCGCCCCACGGCTGGGTCATGCGCCCCGAGGATCCCCCCAACAAGGAAGTCCACGCCAGCGATCTCGCCCACGCGCTGGCCAAACTCAACACGGAGATAACTCTCACTGAAACCTCCACAGCAGCGCCGGAAACTCCCGTGTCCGCCATCTCGGACAAGCTGCCGCGCACCGGGAGCTGGCCCGCGACCACCACCACCGCTACCCGCCGCAGCCGCAGCAGTACCCTGATCTACCACCCCGAAGACCACGGGGGCAGTCCCGGCTTGCCCGCCGTGATGGTCGAGGATACGAGCGAGATCGGCTCATTGGTGGATGATTTGGATGGCGATGAGGATGTCGAGATGTTGAGCTATAGTCCCCTCGACGAGGAGGAGACGGGGGGGATGTCCGTCAAGCGCATGCCGCCGAAGACGGCGCGGCCGCCGGTCGAGTTGATGTGAATTTTTTTTTGGGCGCTTGCATTCGTCGCTGCGATTGTTTCTTTTGGGATCCATTATTTCTTTGGTTGTGAAGAGAGAGAGAAAGAGAGATGTGGACAGGTTGCTTGGATATATTTGCTCATCATGAACGGTGTTGGGGATGGGGATTTGGCGTTTGACACAAACTTGGGATAATTGCTTTTCTTTCTACGGGATTTTGCGCATGATGGGCGTAACATACGCATTGTACATAACATACCACTTGCATTGGGGTTGCGAACACTTTTTGGTATTATCTGGGGCTTGTTTATTACTTTCATCGTTCGTTCAATATCTCCCACAGAATGGTGTTAATATCTTATCTATCTCCAGTATTTGCTTTCCGCCTGTAGCCATCTATGATGCTCGTACACATTCTTAGCCGCACAATTTGATCACTCAAAAAAGCTACGCCTGATAGCGGACCTAGTGGTTGGTTGGATATCTGTTCATTTGGATTTGTATGTGATGTGGTGTTCTTATGTAAATATGCGTTTAATAGAGTTAGAGAGACAAGATATGAAAAGAAAGCAAAGCAACAAAACACCCCCGTTGCACGCCCTGACCATAGAAGAAATTTCTTTTGATAGCACGAAATGGGAAAAGAGATAATAAACAATCAAATAAAAATAGAAATTCCCCGAGGTGAGCAGAAATATCCGTGATGAACTCCGTTCGCATGCTGGAAATAGTATCAGAAAAGGTTGGTGAGGATATGATGTTGGTGGTTGGGTTTCTTTGAGCTGGATTGGGACCAAATGTGGTCAGGTCCGGGTTATTGGTCTAGGAGAAAAAATAGTGATGACGATGAATTGGTTGGAGTGACCGAGAGTCGAAATCCCGCTGACCGAAGACAACCTGCTGGGTAGACGCAGCTGCTCCCGGGAAGTGGCCCAGACTGACAGCAGAGCAAGACCGCCCTTTCATCTCACACATCTCACCTCACCTAAAACCCATAGCCACCGCCGTAGGGCGTGACGCCGTACGGCGTGGCAGCACTGGCTCCCCACGCACTGGCACCGCCACTGGCATAGGCCGTGAACCCTCCATCGATGCCCTCTGGCGGCTCGTAGGCATCCGGGCTACGCATCATATCGTCGTCCTCACCACCCATCATGCCGTTACGGTCCGCACCAGCATCACCCGAGCCAGACAGCGACGAGATGACCGAGGCCAACTTGCGCTGCAGCACAATGATACTCTGCTGAATGATCATATCCGGGTCAATCATGCCGATACTCTCGACATCGATATAGAAATTGTTCGGCTGAGCGTCGTAATCGAAGGGCTGATCCGGAGGGTTAGCGTGTTCCCATGCCGAGTTCTGAGAAATAGGCCTGTCCGACAACGGCAAAAGTAGAATGATTAGCCAGGATCTTCTTCCTCTTACCATCTCTTTTGCAGAGGATCTATTATCCATCGTCCTTCTTGGAGACGAATACCCCAGCAGGAAGGGACAGGGAAAACATACCACTCCTTCGCCGCATCCTCCTCATACCAGTAATCCACATGCCGCAGGTTATTGTGCGGATCGTACTCGAAGCCCACCGCGGCGGTCGGCGCCCACTTGGCATGCTCCTTGGCGATGCCCTTCTTCGCGATGCACGTCATCTTCAGCTCCTGGCCGCGCCGCAGTTTGCAGATCAGGGGGCCCTTGCCCTCGGGGTCCGTGATCACCGGGTTGCCCACCCACTCGTTGGCCCGCTCGCCGCTGACGGCCAGATCCCGCGCGTAGACGCGCATGATCTCGTCGCTCGTGCAGCGCGCGTGCAGGGTCAGCGTCACGCTGCAGCGGGAGCAGCGGTCATCGCATTCGCAGTCGCGCGTGTACTCGACGTCCTGGTCGCAGCTCTTGGAGTTGAGCGGGATCAGTCCCAGGCGGTGGGCCAGGAACTCGTCCGGGAGGACCGAGGTGTTCTTCTCGACTTCCACCAGGTCGATCGCCATCGTGGGGATCTCGGCGAGCATGGTGCGGCGGATCGAGTTGGCGAAGGCTAGGTCGACGGAGCTGAGTTTGAAGTCCACGCGGTAGGGCTCGGCCTGTGGTGTGATGGTCAGTCATTTTGGGGATGAAAAGGGTTGGTAGGCGAGCTTCTTTGAGAGGGTGGGGGGGAAGGGTGTTGCTTTGTGATGTGAGGTGATAGTGATGTTGATGGATGGCGACTGGATGTTGCTCACCTCGCGGACGGTCACTTGGGGCCCGGTGGGCTCGATGTCCATCTCGTAGTCCATGGTGATGATTGTATGTCTGTTGGCGATGAGGCCCAGAGTGATGGCCACACACGCCGTAAGAGTTATGGTTCAGTGGGGAGGAGGTTGATCTGGAGATGGCCGCGATGAGGCAATCAATTCGAGAGAGACTTGGGAGAACTGAAAGGCGGAAGCTGAGATGCGCTTGACCCGATCGGGTAATCTTCCCCTGCAGCCTGGAGAGACCTCCGCGATGTGTGGATGATGGGATGGCACGTGAAGGCACGCTGGTTATCTATCCATGAGATACTTTGCTCACTACACTAATTTATGTTTAGTATTCATTTATGAGCTGTTTCAGTGGTCATCTGAATCAATTCTGAGGTGGTAGTGACCCTCCATGCAACACCACCTTGCGTCATTAGTTTATTTCCAAAGACTTCTATAGATACACACTCAGATGAAAAATCAAACAGCTATTATTGTATGTGAGCCCCTGCTGGGCGGACTTTATAGATGTGAAGTGCCCTGAGCACACAGGTCTCAATCACGAGCAAGATGATATTGGTATCCAAAAGAGAAAGCCAACTCCAAGCAAAGGATCCCATCCCAGACCATGTCTCGATGACAGTAACTTTTTGCCCCATCCGTCAGCAACACGGCCGTACTCCTCTAACAATCTATACTGGCGCTTGCTCGTGAAATCTATAAGGGTGTGAAAACAATAGCAAGGACGGATCGAATGGACAAGATAGGCCATATTCGCGCATCTCAGAAAATGATGTTCGCAAGTCATGCGCAGAAGCCACCAGCTGTCATCCGATCGAGTTCAGAGAGAGAAAAAAAAAGGGAAATGAAAGAAGAGATTATAAAAACCCAAAAGCATTACAGCCAACCGGGGGTAGGAAGGTCCAAGCCAATCAATGCAAGTAAAAAAGAAAACAGCTTTTCCTTGGCTAGATCATTTCAGGTCGTCATGGAAGCTTGAAGCTTCTTTGCGGAAAACAAAAAGCCAACGCTACCGCCGCATGGAGCTGCGATTGAGCGCTTCCAGCAGCTCGGGTCTGCTGGCCAGAGCATCGGCAGCCTGCTTATAGGTAACCCATTGCCGTTTTCGCTTGTGCATCTCGGGCCACTGTTCCTCTTCGCGGTCCACGGTCACCTCGAAGAACTGGTAGGACGCCTTGGGTGCTGTGGTTGACAATAAAGACGAGGGGCGCATGTCGGGTATTTGCCCCAAGTCCTTATGCACCGTACATATTACCCCGGCCTCTTCCCAGGCCTCTCTGCAAGCGGCTTGTTGGGGGCTGTTCTCGTCCGTTTCCCAACCGCCTTTAGGAAGGACCCAGCCGCCGCGCCCTGCGGACTGGATCATCAAGACCAAAGTCTTGTCCGCGGACAACGGCACGACACCGGCCACGAGCCGTTCGCCTTTCGGACCGTACCCTAGAAGCACAGACAACATTAGCCGGGTTGCGCGAAATCATAGGCGGCAAACGCGCGGGGAAATGTATTCATAGGCAGAAAAAAGAGTACCAAGAAATAATTGTAAAAGGGTCAACGTGCCTCCAGGGTTGATTACTCACGTTGGTTTTTGCGTCCCACGCGGGACTCCATTGAACGAGGTTGTTCCGTCATGACGGACCAACTGTAACTATAGGATGGAAAGAAAGATGAGGGACTTCTAGACCACTCCACACAAGAAGTCTATATAGTGGCGAGAGGGGGTGGGCGACTGTAGTAGGTCGTTCTTGGGCTTCACGCGACACTCGTGTCAAAGAAGGAAGAGACTCGATGCGACTGGGGAGAGACAACGACCAATGACACTGACTTGGGACGACCTGTCAATGCTGGAAGTGCTGGGAGTGACGCAGGACACTTCGAACAGTGGAAGTAACAAAAAAGAGGTCCAGCCTGGTGTACGAGAGCGGGCGAACAACCTCTCGGTCGAGTTTCTTTTCCTAAACGCGAAGAAGCAGAAAAAGCGAAGCGGGTCGAAGGGAAGGGCGGGATTTTTTTTCTTGCGAGGGCAAAGAAGAAAAAAAAAGAGTTTAGAAGAGAGAATCAGGAAAATCAGGTATCCCCGTTCACTCCCGCAACGGACGGGAACGTCGAAGAGGATGAGTGAAGACAAAAGCACATCATAATCGGAGGGACAGCGAAGAAATAAGGAAAGGCGGATTTAGGAGGGAAAGTGGACGGAGGGAACGGAGGGAACGGAGGCAGAGGGGGGGGGAG